GACCCATTTATGCTCGCCTGTCCAAATTGGAGCACTTATTTGTACAAAAAATGCACGACGTGCAAAAGAGGCGGCTGTGTGGAACACCTAACGGTGGAAATGAATACTACTTATTGATATGGGTTATCTGGTAACTGGTAACTTACCCGGCATTCCTTGCACATTCAAAACGAAACCTGTTCAATTTTGCGCGAATTTGTGGCACTTGCGAAGGTTAAAGCTTTCTTTTTCTCGGTAGTAAAGTTTAGCGGAGACACGAACCGGGCGCCAACGCTACTCCGCTATCCTGCTATCTCACTCTATCTCACCCCGCTGCATGGGAGGAAAGGGACAACTATAGCTGCTCCATCCACTATATTTCTTGCGAATTTGGGTCGTTGGCCACCTGGCGAAGGCTGGGCGCCTGTTAAACCGTCTAGGGCAAGTTCCTAGAATGTTCATTCCAATAAGCCCGCTGCAACATGGCGCGCTGGGCAAAGCGCTCCAAGCCAACACGGCTCCAAAACTCGTAGAATTCACCCGAACGAAGCAGGCCAACAGCGGCGCCCGGCAGCGGCGAGAGTGGCGCCCAACATGTTGCGGCGACATCGCGTCATGCGCGTCGCGAATTCAGCAGGCAAACAGGGATGGCAATAGGTTGGCGATGGATGGTTTATGCAGGGGGCGGATGCACGGGGGGCAATCCTGGACGCCAGTCTCACGGTCTCCAGTTCACATATGGCCAACTCGAAAACGGCGGACGGCTAACACACACACACACACACACACACACGCGTGGGCGACAGGAGCGCCGGGAGCGGTCCACAGTGGAGCGGAACGCCGGCTGGTGCAGCGGATGTGCGGATGTGCGCGAGCGTTAACACTTTCGCTTTCTTGTTCCAACCTGGCGCTGGCCGCTAACCAGGCGCCCAGAGAGCAGCAGCAGCAGGTCGGGCAGCCAAGCAGGGTAAGCGGGAGAACGGGACAACTATAGTGAGCAGCTATCTTCATCCCGCTCTCACTCCCGCTCGTTCACCGTTCACTACTTTCCCGCTCTCTGGGAGAGGCAAGTGCACGCGTGGGCGTGCGCTCTCTCTCTCTTCGGCTCTCTCCCCCACACTAACTCTATCTCTCTCTTGTAATCTTAGGGTGGCCATGAGATGGCAATGTCCTTGTATAAAAAACAGTTTTGGGGCACAGGCGCTCATCGAAATGCAGGCAGCAGACTCTCTTTCGGTGTGCTGCGAAAAAAATACGAAAAGTGTGCGTTGGAGCAGCAGCAGCAGCTATTTTCTCTCTCGCTCTGCCCCCAGTTTCGCAACATGTTGCCCGGCAACATTTTCTGGCACCCCTCTCTTCGTTGAGCTCGAACACAGTGAAACCTCGAATTATAAAGAGAAATCCATTAGGTCGGTTTCTCACTTTCTAGTGTTTGATATTATTATCTGGTCATTATTAAATCATGTTTATGTTTTACTTTGATTTTAAATTAATGGTTTCAGCATGAACGTTTATCAAGTGATCGAGTTGAAAATTTAAAAAGTGTTAATTTCTAGCTTCGTCTTGGATGGAAATTATAATTGACTTGAAACTTAAAAATTGATTGCTCTGAAAATTATCGATATTTTCGATATTTCGACAATATTGATTCGATACAATCGATGTTTCACAATATCGAGAAATAGCAAACTGTCGATATTTTTTAAGCTCTAGTCATAACCAACATCTCAAGTTGAAAAAAAAGAAATAGATATTTCCAAAACCATAATAAAATAAATTAATAAATAAATAAATGGTTTTAGCATTAACGTTTACCAAATGATAGAATTGAATACAACATTTAAAAAGTGTTAATCAATAGCTTCGATTTGACTGGACAACTTTTTTAAAAATTGTTTTATATAATCTCTTGTTGGAAAAAAGAAAATAGATATTTCCCACATATGTATAAAAATCGTCACAGATTCTTTGTATCTATTGAGTACTGTGCCCCCTTTGCTATAGACCTCGCACAGTTGCCCTTCGCCAGTTGGCACTGTACTCGCTCTGCGCCGGGAGTTTCGACTGGGTTACCCCTCCGCATCCAATGGAGCCTGTGCTGGGGCTGCTGCGAGCCTGTTCAAAAATCGACTGACTGAAGGCCCCTGAAATCGTCGCACGGGGCCTCTGTAGTGGAAACTCATCAAATGCTCCTTCTTTGCAATTAATCCACCATGGAGGAGGCGCCCCCTTTGTCTTTTTTCTCCTGGCCAGGCCAGGCCAATTAGTGCAAAATGCCCCACTCCCACTCACTGACCACAAAACACACAGGGGCGGCGACGCCTTCTTCATTAGCTGCGAATTCATTTCGACCTACGATTTTCGCAGCGCATATCCTTCTATCCTATTACGCTAACATCTTCTTAATTAAAAAGCTGACAACGCCGTCTCCGGCTGCCACGCCCCCCGCCCCCGAATGTCGTTGGCAGATTTTTAATTGCTTAATTGGAACTGCGTGAAAATCCCCGTTGAGAATGCCCAGAACAGGCCGCAAAAAAGGGAAGCCTGTTGCTGGGCAATTAAAACGCAGCAGAAAAAAAGGGGTAAGAGGAGGTGTTCTCAAGGTTGTCCGTATAACTTGTCCGTATGCCACCACGCCCTAGATACGCCTCAAACCCGGCATGGGGAACAGGAGCCCAGTAAGCGGCAGGACAAGGAACGCCGAGAGATGCTGGTGACGCAGGACATGAGATGCAGGATGCGGACGCGGATGCGCAGGATGATGATGATGATGCAAGATGCTTGGCTTGGCCCAGAGCCCCGGGGCAAAAAAGCTTAGACGAAAAGCTCCAGGGGAGAAAGCTCACCACCCAGCTCAATGGATCCGAGTCCTGACTCAGGATGAACTTCCCCGTCTGAGATTACGCATAAGTATGATATCATACCTAATCAAGGTTTTCTAACATCGTTGTTCATAATAAAATTGTCTTCTAATTTGGTTTATAAGGTCTTAAAAATAAAAGTAGGTTGAAAATCAAGAATATTTGAACAGAAACCATGAAATCTGCTTCATATTAGTTTCTACTTACCTTTCAAGGATCACAAATCACACCATGCCCAGATATTTTAAATATGTGAAGATCGTCGAATAACCTCCTTTGCTAACAAAATAATCATGAATCCTCTGAATGTCCAGAAGTTTTTTCTTGATTTTAAATCTTGACTTCTTCATCTTAAAAACGGCGCCTTTTTTCTTGATTTTACTCTTGATCTTGCCTTTTCTTAACACTCCTTGTAAATAATTTTGAATCCAGATAAAAAGGCCTCTTCTTGATTTAATTCTTGACTTTTCATAACCATTTCTTGTAAATAATTTCGAAACCAGATAAAAATAAACAAAAAATTAAGAAAACCGAATTAAAATAAGACAAAAAAGGACATAATTCTTAAAGATATATAAATTATGGGAATATTAATTTGGAAACGATATTATTAATTAAAATTAAAGTATAAACACCTGGAATTCTTTATAAACGTAGTTTTCTCCAACCCAAATCCAAATCCAAAATCTAAATCGACTTCAATGCTTCATAAGTTTTATTTTGAATGGTCGCTCTCTTGGGGAGCCACTCATAATTTGTATTTACGTACAGGGTTAGAAGGAAACCCGGAGTCGTCGCTTTCCATCCAATACGATCCGATCCGATTCTATATCCTCGATGATCCTCCGGTCGTATTCGCTCCCGTGGTCCAAGTACGCTTTTAATTTTGTATAATTGTTGCCTTGTTGTTCTTTTTGGTTAGTCATAGTTCCATATAATACGATATTACATAGTATATAGTAAAGTATATTATGTATAATGCATGGTGTATATGTGTATATAAATTTAGTTAACATTAATTCACCAAATACTCAATGTCTCTCCATCCTCTTTTGCTTCGTGTCGTCTTCGAAAAGATCATTAAAATAACGATCTTGATCTTGACACACTTTTCGTTAGTCCATCATCATCTTTTTATATCGATACAGTTACGCTCATGTTCAAATATATATAAAAATTCAGTTGCCACAATTTGTTGTAATTAAAACGAGATAGATTGTTTGTGGGGTGCATGGGGATTGGAATGGGGATGGGAATTTAGGGGCAATTAGTCTTTGGCACGTTTAAATCGATGATAATCGTCGATAAAGCTGATATGTAACCGGTAGCTTCCTCGCTTTGTGCAAATGTGGAAAGGGAACCGGAGTGGGAGGCGGATTTGATTTGTTACAAATTATCCCTATGGAAAGCAATAGAATAACTTGTTCTTACAAAAGCTTTATAAGGTTTAGGAATGAATTACAGAACAGCAGAAGCTGGGATACCAAATTTCTGTGGATCTTTCACTGGGCCTTCAAGTTTTTGGGGGGGATTGAGGCTTTAGGATATATATCTGATCGTAAAGCTACTGGCGTGCGGTTCGTATTCACAATTCGGTAATTCGGTAATTCAGTTATTCGGTAACAACAATTCGAGAGAGCTATGGTCAATGGCTAAGTCTATATGGTAAAACTCTTGGCTAAAACATTCGCTGATTCGTTTATCTTTTTTTTGGCATCTTTGTGCACACTCTAATGCAATCAATGGAATCTAATATGCTTAGTTTGCTTTCGTTTAGTTTTAGTTTAATTCAATTCAATTCAACAAACAATGCGCTAAGGTTGTAACGTTTGCTAATTATATATCATTTTTTTTTGTAGGTTTTTTTCTCTAAATTTTGCGTATTTTGATAAATTTGTAATACATATATGTATAAGGCCGCTTGGGGCAACTGCTATGAGAATGCTAAAATACCTTTCAACAGATGGATAGCCGGGATCGAGAGATTGATAGATTGGGGGATAGTTAGACTACGGATAATTGAAGCAAAACCTTCTCATTCTTCTTGCACTCTCTAAAATCTGGGGTCCTCTTCGATACGTTTTCATTTCTTTGTGTCTTTTTCTTGTCATTTGTCGTCTAAATTCATTAAAAACTCACTCGGCAATCTCAAAAGCACAATTCTTGTTCTTGTTCTTGCATTTGTATGGGCTGTGTGGTATGTTTGGAGTCTTAGATGGTAGTCGTTAGAATAAAGTTAGAATATAAATCGAAGGTACAAACGATATATAAAATATATCCAGTAAAGTTACGGGTTACGAGTTACGGGTTACGTAAAAAAGATCGCATAACAACTTAGAAGTACGAGGGCACAGCAATCGAGTGTGTAAACTATGTATGTACAGCTCAAGCGGAGCAGGTGAATGGCGAGGGACAGGGTCAAATACAGGCTGTTGCCTAAACTAAACATAAACGTAATAAATAAATAAATAAATAATATTTGGAAATGTAGAAATGTGGAAATAAAGATGCAAGATGCAGTAGGGGAGCAGTGCAAACGGAACGTAACGGAACGGAAACGGAAAAACAGAAAACAGAAAAAACAAACGAAAAATGTGAAATGCACGCCAACTCGGATGCTTTAAGGGGGCGCTTACTTCGCCGCTGCGGAGGCGGAAACGGAACCGGGCGTGGCCGACAGCGCCATCTTGGAGAGCGTGGCCAAGGAACGTTTCGGGAATGTGTTGTTGCCGTCCGAGGGGTCCGAGAACAGTTTCCGGAAGCTGCAAGATACACAAGGATTTTGCAGTGTTTATAAAGAGAGCTTTTTTTGGGTAAAATCTATATAGATCAGGGTGCACCCCTGATATACATAGATTTTAGAAGGTGTGGTGCTATCCTTACAACTTGCGTATTCCCGACTCGGAGCTCTTCTTCCAGGGCGCATCGTCCGGTTCGTAGGGCAGCGGTCCCTGCACAGGCGCATCGTGACCAGGCGGCCTGTAAAAATTCCAATTAATGTTATTGTATTTACTTTGTTAATTACTAAAATAGATAGGCAATAAGCTAGTCCTAAAAAATATAAATTAAAGATAACAACCAAAACATTTTCGCAAAGGATAATAACATCTAAGGAATAATTAAATTCCCTAACATAAACAAACATTAAAAACTATATATCGAGTTTATTCAGTTTGAATATGACGATTACTTGTAATATATTAAATATATAATACCCAATATATTATTTATTTATTTAAAATATATAATATCCAATATGTAGTTTACATTTTTCAATGCTAAAAATTATACTTGAAAACCCTATCGTTTTTTTGTGGTGTAAAAAAATAAATAATTAAAATACATCAATCCAAATCCCTCGCTTTGTTTGACTTCAATTATTCCTATGATCGCCCAATGATATTTAAATACCTGTTGACCTTGCAAACAAAAAAAAGCACGCAAAAAGAGACAAACAAATGATGAATCACCAGTTAATGAAATGTTTGCATCATAAGGTCTATTTAAATATTGTTAGCACTTGTTACCCCGTAAAAACAAAAAAAAGGTAAAGGTGACTCAGGTAAATGCCTTGGCATTAATCATTTCGCTTTTGCTTAAAGTTAACTTATAGATTTAGCTCTGAATTTAATAGAGGCTTGAATTCACTCACGTTTCTCCGGCTGCTGGCGGCTCCAACTCGTCCACGGGAGCCTCCACATCCACCTCCTCCTCGTCGTCATCGTTGTCCGCCACATGACCGTGGTCTTCCTCCTCGTCGCTGTCGTCGGAGCTGGAGAAGTTGCGCTGCCGCTTGGCCTTGGCCTTGGGCGGCTTCAGCTCGGCCAGCTGCTCGTTGAGCCCGTCGATGGTGGTCAGCAGCTCGTCCCGTTCGCTGATCAGCTCCTTGAGCTCGCGCGTCGTGTAGCGCGGCCGATTCGGGTCGTTTTGGCCATCATCGTAGGAGGCCACCAGATCCTCGTTCTCCTTTTCGGCCAGGCCCAAGCGCTTGCGCAGCTGGTTGATCTCGCGGCTCTGGTCCTGCAGTTGGGCCAGAAAGTCGGCGCGCTCCTCGCACAGCGTCTTCACCTGGGCCTGCATCAGCTTGTGGCGCCTCCGAGTGTCCCGCTCCGAGGCCTTTAGGCGTTCCGCTTGGATAGTGAGCTGAGGTTAAGGAACAAGAAGGGGAGAGTAGATAAGAATTGGTAAAAAGGGATGTATCTTACTCCGATCACTAGGATTTTAGGTATAGGTATTCTTAAAACTTTATATTTTCAATACAAATTATTAAGAAAAAAGTATCTAGCTATAAAAAGAGGGCTGTATCTTTGGTTCTAATGCTCCGATCATTAGGATTTTTGGTATAGGTATTCTTAAAACTGTATATTACAAGGCAAATTATTAAACAAAATAAATATCTAGCTATACAAGGGCTGTATCTCGGGTTCTATCGCTCCAATCACTAGGATTTTTGGTATAGGTATTCTTAAAACTTTATACTTTCAATACGAATTATTAAAAAAAAAAAGTAACTAGCTATAACTAGCTGTATCTTCGGTTCTAATGCTCCAAACACTAGGATTTTTGGTATAGGTACTCTTAAAACTGTATATTACAAGACAAAATAATAAAAAAAAGTATCTAGCTATAAAAAGGGCTGTATCTTCGGTTCTAGCGCTCCAATCACTAGGATTTTTGGTATAGGTACTCATAAAACTGTAAGGACTTATAGAAGGATAACCTACGTGCTCCAGCTCGCTGTACTTGTCCTGCAGCTCCCGTTCGCGGTGCTTCAGCTCGTCGCGCTGCTTGTATATCTGCTCCTTGAGGCGCTGCAGCACCTGGGTGTCCGAGAGGGCGCCGTGCAGCTCGTGGTTGGTCATGCTGATGATGCTCTCGGTGAGGCTGGCGCCCAGCCCAGAACTCTGGGCCGAGGACGACTGCAGGTCCTGCGTTTGCTTCACCAGCCGCTTGTTCTCGTCCTGCAGCGAGGACACCAGATCGACCAGCTCGTTGGTCTCACTCCGCCACTGCTCCTCGATGAGCTCCAGCTCCTTGTCGAATCGCCGCCGGAACTCGGCCTTCTCCAGCTTCTCGCTCTCCAGCTGGGCCACCTTGTCGCGCAGCTCCTGGATGGTCGCGTTCTCGCGCTCATTCTTGGTGGCCAGCGCCTCGAGGAGCTCCAGCGTGTTGATTATCTTGGGCATCAGCCCGCTGACTGCATCCGTGCCGAAGCGATCCATGATCCGCTCGTACTCCTTGCCAATATCGGAGGCCAGATCGTACACATCCACCACGCCGATGTCGTCGATGGCGTCCAGGACCATTTCACCCATCTCATTGAGGTGGAAGCCGGGCATCCAGGTGGTCAGTTGGGATTAGATACCTGCTATTCCTAGGGGATGCTGAAGACCCGCTTCAGTTGGCCACTGGTTTTCCACGGGATTTCCAGAGGGGCAGGGGGGTAACTCCGCAGTTCGCAATTTGCACTTTGCAATTTGCCGTTCACACACACACACTTACGCTAGTGTGCGTGGGGTTCAGTTTCGCCTTTGCATTTATCCCGTTGTTATTATTAAGCGCATTTGTTTAACTTTTAAACAACAATCTGCTTTTCGCAATTTTATTTGCAATTTTTTATTTGCGATAGAGGTGGAACATCGATGAAAACATCGATTAAAACATCGATGTTTTTTGCCAGCTCACAAATGTTTCCATAGAGGGCGCCCGTTCCTTAAAACAGTTTCCCCCTTTCGCCAATTTGGCGCCCCTAAATGTTAGATTTCATGGTTTTCTAACAGCAATGTTAAGATACAACGTTTTCTTACATTGGCAGAACTGTTGCGCCTCTGCCAATGTAAGAAAACGTTGTATCTTAACATTCTGTTAAATTGAGAGCGGAGTACTGATGAGTAACGATAAACGATAGGCAGATGAGTTCCCTTCCCGATAAACCAACCTGGCAACCTTGCCTTGGGATCAGTGTTGAGCAATTAGGCGGCAAATTCAAAAAAATTTAAATTCCTTTTTTTTATTAATAAGTTTTTTGTTTACAAAAATGTATAAAGAGTTTTTTGTTTTCTTCTTCTTCTTTTTGCCTGTGCTACTTTGTATAAATTGTGGTTACTGGGCAAGCAATTATTATATGTATCTTACACGTACAATTAGCAATAACTAAGAAATACACTAAAATACAGTTATGCAGCAACGACTAGCAAGTTTCTCCATCTTTCTCTCTCTTTTTGGGTCGCCTGTCTCTTTCTATCTCTGTACAGACTTTGTTTTGGTTTCGCGGGCTTTTTAAGTACATAAATTAGCTAAAGTTCTTTGGATGGTTTTCTTTTTTTTTGGGAACTTTCTTCTTCTGGGCTGACATACAAATATATAAAAATAATACACAAGTTCACGGCTAGGCATTTAACATTTAAGCTTTTCTTCACTCCTTTTTTGTTTTTAGGGACTAGATTAGGAACCACATTTGTACAGTTTTCGTTTTCGTTCTTTGTGTTCTTTTTTTTAGCTGCTCGGCTCTAATTAAGTAAGTTAGATCTAAGATTTTTTAAGGTAAATGTACAAAGTCAAGATAGTTTCCTCCTTTTCTTTTTGGTTTGCAGCTCTCTTTCTCATTAGAACAAACTTAACAATAAAACACTCTAATTACGAGGGGAGGGGGGAAAAAAAAACGAAAAAAAAGGTGGGTCGAAAAAAACGATTTAAAATAATTAAGTTTAAAATTAAAGATTATCTTTAAGTTTTGGTTTAAGCAAGGTTCGATCCTTTGGCAAGCATTCTCTCGATGGCAAGGCTCCTATATCTTCTTCTATCTTTGTTTTTGGCACTCAAACTAGGCTTTAAATAAATATGGTAAATATATGTGGTAAGTGTACTACTAAAGTAGTTGAAAAGTGGCATGCAAACTAGACGAAATACGAAATACTAGCAATGCTCCTGGGGATCTTCCTGGGGATCCTCCTGAAGATTCTTCCTGAAGATTTCTCCTGAAGATTCCTCTTAAATATTCCTCCTGAAGATTCCTCTTGAAGATTCCTCCTGCAGATTCCTCCTGAAGATTTCTTCTGAAGATTTCTCCTGAAGATTTCTCCTGAAGATTCCTCTTGAAGATTCCTCTTGAAGATTCCTCCTGAAGATTCCTCCTGAAGATTTCTCCTAAAGATTCCTCTTGAAGATTTCTCTTAAAGATTCCTCTTGAAGATTCTTCCTGAAGATTCCTCCTGAAGATTCCTCCTAAAGATTCCTCCTAAAGATTCCTCCTGAAGATTCTTCCTGAAGATTTCTCCTGAAGATTCCTTCTAAAGATCCCCCTGAAGCTCCTCCTATAGATCCTCCTGAAGCTCCGTTTCTGAATTCTGATTCTGCTGCAGGGCCAGCTGCCTGAGGAGCTCGGAGGTGGCTTCTTCCTGGCGCTTCGAGCGCTTCGCTGGCGGCGGCGGAGGAGAGTGAGGCGATTGCGGCGACAATAATCCGCCCACCACGCCCACATCCTTGACCAAGGCATCCTGTGATTCTTCATCTGTCAAGTCCTCGTCTTCCGAGGACTCCTCCTCCTGCTCCCCCTGCTCCTCCTCCTCCTCCTCATCGTCTATGTCCACTATTGAGATGATGTCGCTGTCCAAAGAGGAGGAGCCAGGCCTTTCGGACTAGCTGCTGCTGGCCTGCGTTTGCAGCAAGCTGGCGGAGGTGGCAGAAGTGGAGTTGGAGGATGCTGCTGCCACTGCTCCAGGCGAGAGCACACTGGAGACCCCGGGAAAGTGGCAGGGACACGAGGGATTGGGCATGTGCCCCGACTGCGTGTTCAGCTTCCTCGTGAGCGTCTGCCAATATTCGATTTGTGCATTGATCAGCTCGATTTTGCGCTTGCTCTCCTCGATCCTCAGCGAGTTCATCAGCTCCTGGTGCTTGGTGGGACTGGCTGCTCCTCCTTGTCCCACTCCGCTGCTATTCGCACTGCTTCCCGATCCCGAACTGCTGTTTAGGGCCAGTCCATTGTAGCCATTAAAGCTGCCCGCTGCTCCAATGGCCACGTTGCTTCCCGGCTTCTGATGATGATGATTGTGATGATGATGATGCGTCTGCTGCTGTTGCGTCTGGTGATGCTGCTGATGATGACCTCCATTGAGCAGCAGCTGAACTCCATTGGCTGCTGCTGTGCTTGCATTGCCAGGTGTTGCGCTGCTGCTGCTCTGGTTGTTGTTATTGCCCCTTTGCAGGCGTGGCAGCTGCAAGGTGGGCGGCGTGCGACGAGCGGCAGGAGCGGCAGACACGAAGGCAGCATTGATGGCCGCCTGCAGCGACTGCGGTGGCGGATTGACGGCGGACAGGCCGAGGCCATTGAGCAGCGTATGCTGTTGCACTTGCTCCGCGGTTAAAGGCAGCACCCCACTGGCGGGGGCTCCTCCTCCATTGCCATTTGTTACCATAGAATTGGAGCCTCCATTCTGCAGCGTCTTGTTGATATTGGCAAAGCTGCCCACGCGTATGTGGCCCACCGTTTGAATGGTGATGTCCGGCTTGGGGGCATTCGAGGCATAGCTGCCGCTGGAGCTCACCGAGGTCTTGGTGGAGCAAACGGGCGAACTGGTGGCACGGCGAACGGTATCCGCTGCGCTGAGCTGAGGAGCGGAGGAGGAGGAGATGCCACCAGCGGTGGAGGCACCATTACCACCGGCGGAAGAGGCGGCAACTCCGCCAGTGGATCCTCCCAGCTGTCGCAGATCGGTGGGAAAGAGCACATCGTCCTCCTCCTCGAGGCAAACTTCCGGCGCCTTCGGGCTCAAACAGTCGTCGTCATCATCGTCGTCCAGGCAATCCATCCCATTGTCCGTCTGCTCGTTGTCGCTGATCGTCTCCGACTTGATCAGGATCACATCCGTGTCCATGCCCTCCGGATACAGCGGCATCTGCAAGTTGCAGAAAAAATGATACTGAAATCATTATGGACAGCGTTTTAGTGAGGGTTCTGCACGGCATTCAAAGGGCTTAGAATAGGTAAGTTGATACACAGGGAAAAATAAATAGCTGCATATTAAATTCAAAGATTATTTTTAATTATTTAGATTTATATGATTTAATTTAAAAATATTTCATTGAAGTTAGAAATTATTTACATTAAAATATTTTAGGTCATTCAAAAAATATTTTAATATTAAAATCCAAGTTCAACATATTAAAATGTACTATAAATGTTTAATTTAATATTTTCATATTTAAAAATCAATAAAAACCGCATTGGGTCAAAAAACATTATTAATAATATTTATATTTAATATGTTATCTTTGGATTTACTACGTCTTCTTATCAGTGCAGACTGATTGATTGTATTTTATTGGTTTTTATGCAATATTTAGGAATAATAGGAATAAAACAAGAATTTGTAAGCTGAGTAGTAGCTGTTGGTAATGTTTTTGAAGAACTTCGTCTGTCATTGGGGTTTAAAAACAACCAAAAACTGATTTCTTCCCACCTTTCGGTACTATTTCTCAGAATCCTTTTTGATAACTTATTTGGAAAGTGAACGACAAAACCAATAAGATTCTTAAGCATTAATTAAGGTTATTATTAATTAAGGTTATAGAGATCGATATATGGGATTTTAAGAGTCAAATATGAGGGTTGTTTTCTCGTCCGCATGTTAAATTTAAAATATGCCTTAAGTTATAAATTCCCATACTTTTTAAGGTTTGAAGCAAACTTTAAACTTTAACTTGCTGACGAGAAAACGGACCTAATAGAGCTTGAAAAATATCGACAGTTTGATATTTATCGATATTTAATTTGTGTTTTCCCTTTAAAGCATCGAATCAATATTGTCAAAAATATCGAAAATATCGATAATTTTGGTTTTGGATAACAAGGATCTGAAAGTCCTGGCAATGTTTGCCCAAAGATAGAAAGATAGATCTAGATTTTGAGTTCGAGGGTTGCCCACCTTGGAGTCCTCGTAGTCGTCCGCATTGTGTCCGTTCCCCTGGCCACCGGCGCCGCTTCCCGCGAGGCAGGACTTGCCGCCGCCCGCTCCCTGCTCGGCGATATATTGCTCGACGGAATCCTGCTGCGAGAGCGTGTTGAGCAGGTCCATGAACGAGTGGTTGCTCTTGTCCTCGCCGCAGAGGTCCTTCTTCAGCAGCAGCTTCATGTTCTTGTACAGCTGGCGCAGCTGCTTGGCGCTCCGCTGGTGATACACTCGCGAGTTGAACTCCTTGGCGATCTGCAGCCAGACCTCGTCCTTCTTGCGATTCGACTCCGCGTCCGTCCGCTTGTTCTCGATCACGTCCTTGTATTGCGCCGCGTAGCTCAACACCATGTTCCGCTCCCGCTGCGTGTACCGGGGAGTCTTCTCCATTTTCAGCCGTTTGCAAGACGTCGTGAAGCTGCAAGGACAAGGCAATTTGATATTGAGTTTGTTACTTCACAAAATCTAAATGCTATTTAGTTTAGTTTATTAATACCTACCAAAATGTAGAAGAAATTTTTCAAATCGGACAATCCATTAAAAAGTTATGACCAAAAAGGGAAATGGCCGCTAGATGGAGCCCGTCTATCTATCTCGTAAGTTAGTAACTTTCATTTTGATTAAAGAAATTATCCATAATCTACAAATATTATGTTATATCTTCCTATATTTATTTCAATTTCTTAAAAATTGCTGTAAAACTAATTTTTTTAACAGGGTTCTGAAGTTTTTATTAAATGAATATTATTAATTGGTAAAAAGGACCCGTATTTCCCATTACTACAAATGGCGTTCCGATAACTCCACCGATAACCGAGCTTCACTTTGGAGAACTCGGAACTCCACCAGTCCAGCTATTACCTCCACCTCCCATTTCACTTCTTCCCCTTTCACTCCTTCCCCTTTCTGATTATACGGCCATCCCCTCGTGCAATCGATCCGATCCCACCGGCATTCGTTAATTAATAAAATAATGAAAGCAAAAGCAACAACAAACGCAACTGCTCCACTCATCGACACCCACCCACCCAAACACCCAAGCACACACACACACACGGGCGCGTTCTGTGAGAGTGATAAGCTGCCGACGCAGCCGAAAAGAGAGGGGAAAAGAGAGCAGTGCACTGAGAACATAAAAATAGATGTTTACAACATGATGGATATGTGAGAAATACTACACGGATAAAAACGAAAAGATACATTTCTTTAGTTACAAAATGTGTTAAATATTTTTAAATTTTTTAATTAATAAACCTGTTTGCCAATTTATAGGTAAAATCATACAATTTTTAATTAAATTTGTTCCCTTTCTCTTTCAGTGTAAGCCCTCGTCATTTATCGATAAATGATCCTGGAAGACTATATTTTCTTTTAAGAGAGGATTACGGAACCCAAGATGCTCTTTAGGCGGTTCGAAAGAGAATATAGGAAAGGAAGAGTTAGGGACGAAAAAAAACAACCTTTCATTAACCATTATCTAATCGGGAAATCGAGGATTACCGCGAAAATCTTCCCTCCCACACACAAAAGCACAAACAAAAAAAATAATAGAGAGAGCAGAGAGGGTAGGGGTACTCACGTTTTGAGTCCGCGCCAAGCCGGCGAGCGGGCGAAGAAAAGTGGGTGGCAAACAGGAGGCAGAGAGTGAGAGAGATGGGGAGACCCTCGCGCTGCTCTCGCTCGCAAGAGAGAGAGAGTGGGGAAAAGCGAACGAGCAAGAAAACTTCGCGAACGGCGGCGACGAGGCGCAAAGCTCGACTGAATTTGAATTTGAATTCGGGCACGCTCAGAAGTACCGTTGGTTTGGAGTGCAGCAGCGACGTCGGCGTTGGGCAAACAAAAATAGGAATAGCTGAGGAAGAAGAAGAACGGAGCTCTGCTCCTCCCCCTCTTCACTCCTTCTCCCCATTACCCATTCTTCACACAAGACCTCCTGTCTCCAAACACACACACACACAATGAGCTCAACTGTTTACACACACACACACATGTATTTATGTGTGAGACGTAATTAAAGCTTGAAACCGAGTTTACAACAACAAAGTGGCGAAGTTGAAGCAGAAGAAGAAGAGGCTTAAGAACAGCAAATAAGTGTGGCAAAGAGAGAGATGGAGAGAGAGCGAAACTTGGAGCAGCAGAGAAACCGAAACCCAAACCCCCCAGCAATGAGCGCAGTTTATAAATAAACGTTGTTCTTTTCTTTTTTTTCAAGCTGCAACAAAGTAAGGGTTGAGCTGACGTGTGAGTGCGAAAGGGAGAGAATGAGAACAGGGGAGCTGAAGAACAATATGTGCATAAGTATGTAAGCCCACGCGGTTTTAATTAATGAATGGGTGACATAACCTCAAATGAGTGGGGGGTGCAAGTCATCGATGGGCAAATAGGATACATATCGATATCGATACAACACATAATAATCAGAACTTAACCTTACAAGTAAGGAGCCAAGTCTAAGCGATAGCCAAAAACATTTATCTAGAATAATCTATAAAATACTTGATAAAAAAAAAATTTTAAGTAAATTCGAAAGTAATTTTAAATATAAACCTTATGACAGGATAATGTTATTTGGTTATCATAAATATTGAAATCATGTTTCCTTAATGTAGAATTTCGAAGTTTGAGCTAAGAATTTAGACTGCGAGCACCGCAAAAGGACGCGGGATAGTTGTGTTCCATTTGGATGGTTTATGTTTATATAGGTTGGGAAACTAGCATAGGACTACCCTGACTACGATTGATCGATTGCCCGATAAACAGACTGCGTTCTGAGCAATGAAAGCGCCATTGCTAAGCGTCTGCGTCACTGCGCCGCTGTCGAGTCAAGTTTTAAGATAAGATTTGAGGCAGACTGTCTCTGTATCTGTATCTGTATCTCTGTATCGCTCCCTATATGTGTACAAGTGTGGGTTGTGGGTTCTGGGTTTCAGTTCGTTTCAGTTTGGTTTCAGTTTGGTTATCTACGAAATCCGCTGGCAATGGGGCTTCCACTTCCATTTCCAGCGTAGCGCTGAGCAGTGCAAACAAGCAAAGTTTGCTTTTTGGGGACAGCACAGCACAGCACAAGCACAAGCGTTGCTTAATGCGATACCCCACCTTGAGTTATCTACATACACACACAAGCCGGCGCAACAGGTGGAATTATTTACTGATAAGCCGCTGATAAAAGCGAGCCCAGATAGGAGAGAAAAAAAAACAGAAAAAGAGGGGTGGGAGTGGAGTGGAGCTTTACTTCGGGGCTAAAAGGGGGGTGGATTTCAAGTTCTAATTGGCTTTGTTTGTACGCTGATAACGCGGTGCAACCTGTCCCACCCCCTTCGTATGACTTCCCATGAAAAAAAAGTAGTACCTCCTACAAAGCACGGTTCGAAACCCACCTGCGTCCCACGATCGAGGTTCCAGTTGATCCCACCACAGTGGGCACGATTCTTCTGCTCTTCCTCGTGACCACCACCAACTGACGACGATTCTTCTGGGCCCGTAGAATTCTTCTGGTAATCCGCGCGTGCTTTCCCTTTTGCTTTCCCTTTCCAGCGGCGGCGGTTTGGGGGGTACGCATTTTCCCCGCGCAGCAGCGTCGTCGTCGTCAACCGCAGCGCTTGAGTTGACAATTTTTACTACTACAATACTACCGCTTTAGACTCTACAGAGCAGCGGAATCGTGAATCGGGCAGCGCTCACCGACTCAATGGGTGTAATGTTCCCTCTACCATATATATTCCCTGTGTGTGTGGGAGCGTAGCAAAAGCGCTTGGAAATGCTGGCCAGCGTTGTGCAATCTCCAGTCTCGAACGGCAGAAACTGAGAACCACGATCGGTTTCGGATTCGGATTCGGGATCCCCCATATCCGAATAAAGTCCAGCTGAGGAGCTTATAATACCATTAAACTTGGAAAATGGTGCATACTAACTCTATACAACACTAAAATCCTGTTGCATTTTATTTTAATATTTATTACAATAATGCAACCCTAAGGAACCCTTTATACTAACACTATATACCACTACTATCCTATTAGATTTAAGTTAACTATCCTAATCCTAGGCATTTTCCTTGATATTCATTATTATAACAGAACCCTTAGAAACCCTTTAGACTAGACTATCTAGGCCTAGACTCACCTGGATTTATAGTCGGCTACAGTTTGAAATGGATTTCCTTCGTAGCCGCTGATCCTCGGCTCTTCTTCTTCTCCTTCTTCTTCTTCTTCGCTAGCCCTGCACTCCTCCTCCTTTGCCTCCTTCTCCACCTCCTCCGCTATGTCCACTATTCTGTTGTTGTTTTTCTCAAAGCCTCAATCTGTGCAAATTGAAGGAAAAGAACGCACGGCTTGTTGTTCTTTGCCTTCGGTTCACGCGGCGTATGCGCAATATTTTCAACTACTTGTCCAACGTCGCTGACCGCCAGCCGTCTCTGTCTCTTTCTCGCCCCGTCTCTCTCCCTCTGCCTCTTCTCTTCTCAGCGAAGCGCTCGCTCTCTCTCTTTCTCGCTCTTGTAAAGACCAGAAGACTCGAAGACTTTGTCTTTGGTTCTTCACTTGGTCGGCGGCTCTTTGTGTGCGTTTCTTCCTATTGGTTTTTCGATATCGTTTATAGCTGAACGAGCGTTCTATGCTTCTTCCACTGCTCACAGTTGTTGTTTCAAACCTTGGACTAAAATTAAAAATACATAGAGAAGTGAATTTGTTAATACGAAATCACGCCAAAACGTAAACATCAGCACAGGCACAAGTATAGGATAGCTATTTGGATACACACCACATAAACAGAGAACAGAAAACAGATTCAGACTTCTTGACTTAAGTTCTTGCCGTCCTACGATCGCGATTCCACCCGATTTCAACCCTCTTATCTGGCCAGATCAGAACCGAATCAAAAACCGAAACAGAAACCGTAACCGAAACCGAAACCCAAGCAGAACCTGCTCTATCGCACCCTCTCTTATTTTTTTGGAAAGTTAGGCCTCATTGAAACCGCACTGAAACTAATATCTAATCTGGCTGGATGGATGGCTGCCCGTTATTATCTTATCGCCTTAAGGTGGGCTTGTGGCTCCGCGAGAACTTGGAAGTCGGATGGGTGATTCATCTGATTCACTACCCACCTGATCCGCCGGACTCGATAACCTGTGGCTAATGGTGTTCCTCTTGTGTTACAGGCCAAATAACTTTACTCTATAAGGCAGAGTTTAAGAATCCTACATAAAGGATATGTTTTAAAGTTCTAAAACTTCGCCATTATAGGATAATATTATAGATATTTGAATAATTATTTTTTAAAAAACATACCTTCTTAAAATAGATTTATAGCATTGAGCTTTACTCCATTACTACAATAAGGCTTCTGAAAGTCAAGGTTCAAAGGTTGCCATTTCGATTTAGAAGACGTAGAACCACCAAATTTTGATGACAAATTGGAGACATTACTCAATGAAGACTCAACACGAAAGCAAGAGGTACTTGCATAGTTAAATAGAGTTCATAATAAAGTTTAGAAAAAATAATGAGATGATTAAGAAAGCCTGTCTTGAGGATGCTCCTAACGAAAGTTTCAGGATGGTCCTGAAAGAAAAACTCGGTAAATAAGATACAGTCATACGGTTTGTATATGTAGCTTTGGGGATATATATGTGTGTGCTTATGACGAATCAAGAATTCGAGGAATGAAGAAGACGCAAATCTGTGCTCCGTACAATTGCAAACAAACAAGCAGAAAAGCTGACCCTGTTCATCTGGTTCTCTTCTGGTTCGCTTCCGCCCACCGCCCACCCACAACGCCTCTTCACTTGGCATGAAAAACAAATGATATCCCGGCCTTTTACTTTTTACCACCCTCGTAAAATACCCCCCTTTTCGAATCGAAATAATAAAAAAAAAAGTCAAAAGCGCAGAGACGAGAGCGTGCCTTACCCGATACCCGTTACCCGTACCGGGCATATAACCGCTGCCAACCGCTTACCGTTCTGAACTGGCCCGATTCGGCAGCTCTGCCTGTTGCTCCGTTCTTTGGCCGCACTCAAAGAGCAGAGCAGCCGTCGCAGTCTAATTTGATACTGAAAGCGAATTCGGAATTCAGCCGCAGACTAGTGAATACCGAGTCTCGAGCGGTCCGAGCAGCAGTCGCAGCCTGTTGGCCGCGTCTCCGAAGGTGCACGCTCCCCTCCCCTCCCCACCTCTACTCATCTCCCCCCCTTCCTGCTGGCCATCTATTGGGGTCGAGCTGATCGCATCGAAAAGCGCCATGAGGGGTTGGCAAATTTCCAACCGAAAGTTCTGCTCTGCCGCCGAGAATCTGAGCATCTGTAGCCGCGTATTCGTATCCGTATCTTCTGTGTCTGCTCGTCCAAGAGAAAGAGAGAAAGAGCGGAGCTTCGGGAAAAACGATTTTACATTGCGAGCAGTCACAGCCACAGGCAAATGAAAAGCAGCGCCAGTTTAGCAGGAAAAGCTAAAGAATATCCAGCCTGGTTTAAGGGTTACCACGAATATTTTATGGTATTATATAGCTTTGGTGTAGAGTCTTGAACACATCCCTTCTTGAGGTCTCTATCTATATCCTGGAAACTATGATTTCTTGAAATTTTTTCCTGCATCTTGTTCCCAAGACCTAAAAACGTTGTCTTAAATTAAAAAAAAAACACGTTTCTTAAAATCTCCAATTTTATCTAATAAAAAAATCTACTTATGAGTTCTCCACTTTTTTTTTACCTTTTGTCCCTTAATATTTAGTTTAGTAATTGTTAAGTTAAAGAAGCAACTTAATAATATATCCCAAAATGCCCTATTTGAGATCTTCTCTTCAGACTTCTTAAAGACTATTATAATATATCATTTTGAAAGCTTATACTCTCCGAAATAATAACACTCTACTTTTAAGGACTTGGCCGTATATTAATCTTAACTTATAATAATTGAATTGTTTTGTAATGTTACTTGAAATTGATTTCTTAATATAATTTAAGATTCCAAGTGCTACTGCTTTGGTGACACCTATGTTTACCGGTTCGATCCTTACTTGAAATATATCTTAACTTATTATAATTTAATTATTTGGTAATATTATAGGTTATTATATTATAGAATCGAAGTTCTAAATAGAATTTATGATTTCCGGGGATTCCCAACTGCATGTAAAGTTTTATTTCTGGAAAATGGAGACTTCCTTGGGGAAACCTTTACCGAATGGATCCTGGTTGACTCTCTCAGGTTCTGATCTGAACCAATCTCATCCAACCCGACCTGATCTGATCTGTTTTTGATCTGATCTGGTCCAATCGCTCGAGTACGCAACTGTACTTGGCATCTCGCAACTTGGCAGCTGAAAAGTATTTTCGACTTTAAAAATAGCTGCCCCAAAGAGGAGGAGGAGGCTGAGGAGGTGAATGAGGCGAGAGAGAGGGATCGGTTTGGATCGCTTTGGTTTGGTTTTTGGCTTTTGGCTTTCGGCTAGAAGCGGGGTGGAATGGGGTGGGCGGATCGGGCGGATCGGCTGGCTGGCTGGCAGATGCCTGCGTTTACAAATAGCCCCTGTTTAAGCTCTCTCGTCGATGATGATGAAAATTGATGGGTCCGAGCGTATGGAAATCCATATTCCATTTTCGATTTTTCGTACCGTTTCGTTTCGGCTTTTTCCCGATTTTCCCCGTGTGTGTGTGTGTGTCGGTGTGCGTGCGCTTTTGGAAACTCGAAACTAATGAGGTCGACCACGTAGGCTCCCCCATCCATTGTCTCCCTGCTTCTGGCCTCCTCCGTACTTCTCCGACTTCTTGATGCCCTACACATGCCATTCTTGAGCTGGCCCCGCAATCTGCCAAGAGAATTTGGACTGTACAGTGAAAATCATAGTAACTTGGAACACATTTGCTTATAAGCTATTAAAAAGTTAAGAGATAAGTTATGTTTAAGTACTATTATTATTGGTAATCTTATATTCGGGGGTGTCACAGAAATCTTTTTCAATAGTTGAAAATTATAATTATAACCAGGTTTGATTTTTCCCCGAAATTAGTTTGATCCTCAACTAAGCTAAGAAATTTGAACACAATTTGATTAACAATTTGTGAGTCTATATTATTGGACCACATTCTTCAGTGGGATTTAAGAACAAAATTGTTGTTCCATATTTTTTGAATACCATATTCCTTTTACTTTTCAACCAAGTGTTTGAACCGTGATCAAAATTCTTTAAAAAAAAATTGCATAAAAATATTCCGTCCTAACTCGATCGGTCCAAATTCAAAATAGTTTATATTTTGCATTTTTTGATAGATCCAAATTAAGACAGTTTGAAAACAGGTTTACATTCAACAGGTTAAGAAAGTACTTATCTTGCAGATCAATACAAGAAGGAAACTAATTCAATTAAATCTGGAATTTGCCACATATTTTCTGCAAGTGTTGGGATGAGAAGAGGGCTGAATTTGGTTGGGTAGACGTACTACTACATACTTAATATACTACCAGGCCCAAAGAGAGCGACATGGGCCGGTCTTTGGAAGCGAATTGGTTTGCGTTGCGTTGGTTTTTCTTTTTCTTGGCAGCCGCCTTTCCGCCTTTTCACCTCCACCTCCCCGCTTTTCCTCGCTTTTCCTCGCCTCCTCCTCGCGCCTGACGCTGCGATTTGAGTTCAAATTTATTTTTGGCAGCATCGCCAGAGCAGTAGTGCGCCTGCCCCTGCCCCTGCCCCCTTTTCCCACTTTTCCCGCTTTTCCGGGGCTCAGGGGGCTGCGAGGAGGGGTGGGGATTCGGGAGGGGTTTCGGGATCGGAATTGGGATCAGAGGCCCGATCGCTTTGCTCTGCTTTGTGTCTCTGTTTGTGTTGCTTTATCTAGTTCTGAGTTCTGTGAGTTCTGTGAGTTCTGAGTTCTGGGGTGTGAGTGCGTGCCTGTGTTTAATATAGGCTTCCGCCCCTCTCCTGGATTGTTTGTGTAATCCATTTAAAGGTAATTGAACTTCCCATTCCACCTTTCGCCTGCCAGCCGACGAACTAAGCCGAAGTCGAAGTCGGGGCTCTATATATAGCCGGATCAGAAATAGAAGAGAGCAGGCTTCGAGGGTCTATGGCCTGGCATGGGGCTGCAAATGGAAATCGGGGAAATGGAAATGGAAACTGGGCACTAGACAGCAGAAAAGAACCTGCTTGCGCAAGACGAGCCCAAAATTAGACGCGGAAATCCCCATTTCCAAGGTGCCAAAAGGGATACGATAGGTTTCAGATTCAGATCACAGCACATCAGATCATCAGATCGCTTGGGGAACTTGAAGAATTCTGGTATCGAAGCACACTCGGGAAAAATGAGACGTTTGCTGGGCGCGTGTTATTTTTAGGCCAAAGCATCATCATAATAGTTTCCTTTTCCCCCTCCTCCACCGTCCGTGTGCCAGCTTTTCCAATTTTCGTTTTTCAGTTTTCCATTATTTTTGGGTACACTTTTTGGAGGCAATTGATCAACACGAGAGCTAGGGGAAGTAGGTTATTCCTACTAATTTGAATTTTTCTTTTAAATATATGTATCTCACAGACTAAAACATTGAAACATTCAAAAAGCAAAAGAATCACCTTAAAAATAGGAGTCATATTTCATTCTGAACTAATTTGCTTCATGACAGCCCTGGCTTATGATCATAGCCTCACTTGTTTCCTTTTTTCTGCATTGATTAATCGTTAATTAATCTGCTATCCGTATCTGTATCCGTGTGTTATTTTACGGTCATACTTGCTTAAAAACATAAACCAACCTAAAATTTTAAGAAATATAAAATAAATAATTTTTTGAGAGGTATTTTAGTATTTTATTGCCGTTTTGATTATAGGCAGTCTTTGGTTTTGGACGACTTTATGGTGGGTTAAATACTAGGCCTACTCTGAATTTATTTGGTTGAATACAACTCTGGCTTACGATCATAACCTCACTTGTGTCCGTTTTCCTGCTCGCCATTTATTGGAAATTCCATCAAGTGGCATTTCGCCATAAATCGATAACAATTAATGCTGGCAAAGTCGAGGACAAAACACAAACAACAATAAAGCGCGCTCGAAAAGGAGGAGGCAAAGGAAAAAAAGGAAGCCGTAAGCACGAATCAAGCGAGGAGAGCTTTGGTCTAAGGATAAAGCTTTGGTCCAAGTGTGTGCGTGTGTGTGTGTGTTTGGGCTGAAAGCGTGTGTTGATGTCATAAATCGCACGTAAAGAGGACGAGAAGAGGAAGAGCCAACAGCTGTGCCGCCCAAAATCGCTAAGCTGGAACACGTTTCAAGTGAAAAACCAGGGGAGGGTATTAAACGAGAGCCCAAAACCGCGTTTTGGATTTTTGTTTTCAATCTGGATTTTCAAGCGCGCTCCTTGGGGTGGAAAAAGGCGACGCTCTCTCTCTCTCACACACACTTGCACACACTCACACACGCAGACAGAGCTTGAATTGGAATTGAATTGGAATTGGAATTGGATGGCGAATTACGTGGATTTTTTTACTCACTCTGCTTCTACTTCTGCTTCTTCTTCCTCGGGAAAGCAACAATCTCCGCTTTTCCGCAATATTCCGTACTCGCAACTTCTGCAGCACTTTTTTCCGCACGCACACATATGCTCTGAGCTGAGCTCGACTTTCAACCTGTGGGTGGCACACTTGCAGTTACCGTTACCTTTACCGTTTACCGTTTGCCGTTACGACAGGACGACTCTCTCAAAAACCGAAAAACCAAACAAAAAGTTGAAAAAAAACGAGGCAAGAAGGAGCAACAAACAACAAACAACAACAACACTACTGTTCTGGCGGCAGCGCGGCTGAGAAAAAACGGGCGAAGCGAGCGAACGCGCGACGTCAAATGCCAGATTTTGTTGTTGCGACGAAATTCCTTGCGGCACGGGCAAAAAAGAATAGCGGGGAGGGGAGGGGGAGAAGAGCGTGGAAGGAGGAGAGAACAGGGCGCGAGGTTCAAACGATGAAGAAGTTAGCTCTTAAATCTGAAAGATCGTTTTCGTAGAACTGTTAAAATATTTAATAAATTAGGGATTTTTAGGATTCTTGGTGAAATTCAAACATTTTGTAACCTATAATTAAATATATTCTTACCGGGACATTTAAAATAATTAGTGTTTTTTGATGTCATTTATGATTAAATATAATGAATAAATATAAAACATGTTTATAAATATTAAAAAATGTTACCACAATTGTTTCTGGCTAGTTAATAAATAACGTTTAAAAATGTGTTCTTTAATATATGCTTTGTATCACATTTTCCTAATTTCTCCAGCTATTTCATAAAAAAACTTAAAAGTTATCTTATTTTTAAATTAAGATCTTTAAGATTTACAGCTGTTGGACAGATGATAAATAAATTTAGAAAAATCTTTTGTTTTTTATTTAATAATTTTTACAAATTTCCCTAATTTCTCCAGCTATTTCATAAACTAATTTAAAAGTTACCTATGTTTTAATTAATAACTTTAAGAAACAGCTGTTGTTTACCGCCAGGTGGCAACGCCGCGCAGCTGCTCCAGTGTTGCACAGCGCTCGGCATTCCCATCCGCAGTTTATAAACAAACATTAAACGCACACACGCAGTAATACACACGGAAAAACTAGTTAAACACCCCGTAGAAGCAGCAGCAGCAGCGCAATCTAATCGTTGCGAATCGCCGTGTTCCGTGCTCCGCACCCACATCCACCTCCGCACTCGCACCCCCCGCAAAATGCTGAAGATCGCCGCCGAGGGGCTGGCGCCACGTCTGGTGGCCTGTTGCTCCATCGGAGCCACCAGTGCCCACAGTGGCTGCCACAGGGTGGCGCCCCAGGCGGCCAAGGCCACCCAGAAGTACCTGTCGCAGTCGCAGCACCTCCACAAGAAGCTGGTCATCAAGGATCACTACGAGTTCGATCAGAAGGTGAGTCGGGATTATGCAATGGAAATGAGAAATGGGTAAAGGAAGAGGAAAAGAAAAATGGGGGGTGGGGTTGGCAAATGACCTTGCAACGCTGGCGTACGTGATTCCGTTCCCGGAAGGGAGGGAGGAGGGAAAGGGGGTATTCCACAACCTGTATCCCAAATCCATGCACAGGGGCGTAGCCAGGATTTGCTGGAGGGGGGTTTTTCAGTACAAAGTTTTCTGTAGCATACTTTTGAAAACCATAATTAGCTAAGGATTTTTTTTGAGAGGGGGTATAACTAACAAAAAACCCCCTGCCTACGACACTGGAATTAACCTGTATCCAAATACATACATACATATGAGTATCCAGGATATTAGGGGGGTATATATTAAGATTTCCCCTAAAATAAAAAAAGGAGAATTTGTATCCCCCAAACCCCACCAAAATACGCCCCTGGTTTCGCGCATATGCGTTGCTCTTTCGGCTCGTGTATGCAAATGAGGCCCAAAACATTGGATACACCGGTTTGAACCCCTTTCGGCCAGCTAAAAAGGGGAGATCCGCCAGCATATCGCTTCATATTTGGACTTTCCGGACTATCAATTGCAGGTGGATTAGGGTAGATAAGATGAGTTTCAGATTGTATACTTTCCTTAGTAGTATTAGTTATTAAAAAAATAAATATAGTTATCTCAAAGAGTGCCAGAAATTAAATTGTAAGATACGTTGCAGGCACATCTACATGAATCATGGCAAATCGAATTCTATAGCTTCAAATCCATTTCCCCATTTTAATGGCATGACGCTATTGTCTATAAGTAAAGTAAGGCCATAAACAAATGACGTTATGTGTATGACGTTATAATGTGGAAATCGGAATATCTATATTGTAAAATAGAATTCTTAATATTCGAATTCAAGCAAATTTTAGAGTTAAGATCAACATTTTTTTAATTCCTTAATTCAAAATCGCTAGGAATCGAATTCTTAAATATTCTGGCTATAAGAATATTATTATCGGGTGTGAAAGATCAACCAAAATATAAAATTCCTATACTAAAACTTATGTTAAATTGTAATTTCCCCTAGGTAAAATAGAGTAAAGTTAAGTTTTAGAGTTAAGATGAAAATTTTGAAAATTCTTTAAATAGAAATCGAAGATTTAGATGTCCTGGCTATAAAAATATTTTTTATCAGGTGTAAAAGATCGACCAAAATATAAAATTCCTGTACTATAACCCATTTTAAATTGTAATTTATTTGATCCCCCAGGTGATCAACAGCGACAACCCGGTGATCGTGAACTTCCACGCCGAATGGTGCGATCCCTGCAAGATACTCACGCCGAAGATGCTCGAGCTGCTGGAGAACTCCAACGAGATCGATGTGGCGATCATCGATGTGGAGACGAACCTGGATCTCGTCGAGACGTTCGAGGTGAAGGCGGTGCCGGCGGTGCTGGCCTTCCGGAACGGCGTCGTGGTGGACAAGTTCATCGGTTTGGTGGATGCCAACAGCATCGAGACGCTGATCGACAAGCTGAAGCGGAAGCAGCAGCAGAAGCAGTAGTTGGAGTAGCATAATTGGAACTGGGAGGTCATGATTTTAAAACGGAAACGATACGGGAGACTGCGAGGCAAAAACAATGCAATGCAATCATTGATGCTGAAAGAGAGTGTGCACAAAATACTTTAATATGCAATAAAACTAATCTTAACTATGGCTATTTTTAACTCACATATTTTAGAATATTAATGGATCGCTTTATTGTGGTTTTGGTTTATACAGCATACATAAAACTCCCGCTTGCCCCAGACAAGCGCTGCTTCCTCCGATTACAATTACAAATCGTTAGACGTACACATATGGTTTTCCGATTCGGGATTCGGGGTAAAATAATAACTCAACATTTGTATATATATAGTGTAAACAGAAATCGATATCGAAATAGAAACAGAAACAGAAACGAAACCTACAAAACTTAGACTAACCGGAAGCGAAAAGCGGGCAACATAGGTTCCAAACATTCCGAAAAAACACTTTATTTAGTTATCACACAGCCGCACAGAGGAAAGCGAAAGTCGGGGATCCTAATATCGTTTAAAGTTTAAAAGCTGTTTTAGGTTTTCAACATTCAAAAAGCATTCTAGTCAAGTAAAACATCCCAAACTCCATTCTATAGCTTTCCTCTGTGGAACTGTGTGTTTTTGTGTTGCTTCCATGGGTCAATCCTCAGGAGAAGATCCCTTCTCCTCCCTTCTCATCGCGCCAGCTGGATGATCAAGGCGGCGCACATCTCGAAGAACTCCATGGTGTGGTGGCCCGTCGGCTGCAGCGGCATCACGCCCGAAACGCTGAGCGGTGGCGGCGTGAGGCTCTCCATGATCACGTCGTCACCCTGCTCCACCTCGTCGTTCGTCAGCGACTTGAAGTCCAGCAGATAGCTCTTGGCATCCACCTGATACAACTGCAGCGACATCTTGGAGAACTTGCCCGTCTTTACGTTCTGCCTGCGCACTCGCACATGATACGGATTGATGATCTTCCACTCGTAGCTCAAGGCCTTCATGGCCCTGTAGACCTCCAGCATAATGTCATTCGGCTTGCTCTGCGATCGGATGCCCAGATGCCATTTGGCCCGCTTGATGGGCGTTCCGCCACGTGCCGTCTTCTCGGGAAAGGCGCCGCCTCCCGAGTTCTGCACCGACATGGCCAGCTGCCTCTCGCGCATCGGTGCAATTCGCTCGGGATGCGGACGAATGGTGCTGCTTGGAGTGCCGCTAGAAGAAGCAGGCGGTACGGGAGTAGATGTTCCCGAGCTGGCTGCAGTGCCTCCCACGGTAACAGTGGCCAAGGGGGCATGATTATCCTGCTGCTGCTGCTGCTGCTGCTGCTGCATCGTCGATTGAGGAAGCGGCGGCGGCGGCGGTGGTGGCGAGCCAGCCACAAAGAAGTTATTGATCTCATTAATCTGATTGGCGGCATCATCAGCAAAGCGCTTATTATCAATAATCAGATGATAGGCAATGGCCAGCTGATCATGAGGATCTCCGCTCAGCAAAGAGTTATGCACCTCCGTTTCCTTCACCCCAAACTTTGTGCAAACCTCGGCCACCGCGTACGTATCGATCACATTGGAGTCCTGCTCGATGGACGAGGGAAATAGGTAGGCGGGCAGATCCTTCTGGAACCACTCGTGCTTCTTGATCTCCTCGATATTCGCCCGCTTGAGCGGATCGACCTGCAGCATCTGGCAGACCAGATTGACCACCTGCTTGTTGAGGTACTCGGGTATGGGAAAGATGCCCGATTTGATTTTGCGGAACAGCGTGGGCACATGCTCGTCGTCGAAGGGCAGCGTCCCGCACAGCAGGGCGTACAGGATGACGCCGCATGACCAGATGTCCACCTCGGGACCGGCGTACAGCTTGCCGGAGATTACCTCCGGAGCGGCGTAGTTGGGGGAGCCGCACGAGGTGCGCAGGAACTCGCCATCGAGCATCATGTTCGAGAGTCCGAAATCGGCGATCTTTACGTGCATATTGTGGTCGAGCAGCAGGTTCTCGGGCTTCAGATCGCGATGCACGATCATGTGCCGGTGGCAGTAGTCCACGCCCGAGATGATCTGCTGGAAGAAGCGGCGCGCCTGGTGCTCCTGCAGCTTGCCGTGCTTCACGATGTAGTCGAATAGCTCGCCACCGCTCACGTACTCCATGATCATAAAGATGTCCGAGGGCGTGGAAATGACCTGTGAAGTAGCAGGGAGTATTAATATTTATAAAATAAAATAAAATGTATATTATTATTACTAATAAGACTGGTATAATTATAATAATATTTATTATAGATTTTATATTATATTTATATTAGATTTATATAGTATTATTATTAACCAATGCTATCTTATTATTATATTTATATTTTGTATATTTATTAAATTTTAAATGTTTTAATAAATCAAATAAATTTAATGTTCCCAAGATCTCCGCTGTTAAAGATGTATTTATAATAATATTTTTTATACATATTATTTTAAGATCTATAGGTATATTATTATTATTATCAGAGGGTTTAATATAGATTACTGATAATTATTAATATTTAAATGTATTAAATGTATCTCTATATCAAAGGCATTTACTGTTTCCAAGATCTCCGTTTTTAAAGATATACTTCTTATAATATTTACTATACATATTATTTTAAGATCTATATTATTATTAATATTATCCAATGCCATCTTAAAACCATAAGGTAACAGAGGGTTTATTAAAGATTAATATTTTGTATTACTAATATTTAAATGTATGAATAAATCATCGATTTAAAGGGTCTCTATCTCTATATAGATGGCATTTATTGCTCCCAAGATATCCGTTTTCAAAGATACACTGTGATGAGTTCAGAACTTTTAGGGGTTATACATATTTATCTATAAAACACTTTTTATCAAAAAAGATGTACTCTAGAACTTGATCTTTTTAGGACTTTTTTTTTACCCTAAATCTAACCCAACTAAAATGGATCTAAATCATTCCCATAATAAGTTCTAAAGTTCTATTAAAAGCAATCTCTATGTCAGGGTATTCCCCACTTCGGTCTCCCTAAAAAGGTCCAACTTCCTGGGTTATTTGTTTATTCTAATCATGTTTGTTTGTCTTTCTGGACAACGGCCTTGTCATATAGCGAATGCAAACTAGTGCCCCAGTTTCTGTGGTGATTTCAGGAATGGGAACCCGAACCCGAACCCTTTGCTTTTCTAATTTTTTGCCCAGGATGATGACGAAATGTTTACATTTCGGAATTGCAGACATCATTTTTATATCGTAGATATACTTTGTAGGATTGCTCACCTGGTACAACTTGATGATGTGCGGATGACGGAAGAGCTTTAGGTTCTGGATCTCCCGACGAATCTTTCCCACGACATCCAGGCTCTTGATCTTCTGCCTGTTGAGTATCTTGACCGCCACCTTGACCCGGGTGATCTGGTGCTCGCCGATCTTCACCTTGCCGAAGGTTCCGGTGCCCAAGGTGGCGCCCAGCAGGTAGTGGCCAATCTTCACCAGCGGCTGGCCGTTGGAGCTGCCGGCGGCCACCGCCTCAGCGGCCGCTGCCCTCAACTGGGGCATCTCAGCCAGATCCTAGGGGTGCTCCACAGCTGGAAGGGTGGCAGAGTGGAATATTGGAACGGGGAAAGGTGGTATTCAGGGAGGGTAAGGTCGTCGTCGTCGTCGTTATCGTTTATTGCGTAGAACCAGAACAAAACCCAGAACTCACGTTACGTTTGCCACCTCTTCCCAGTTGGATGTTCGATAGTCTATGTGTGATGTGCTGACTTCCTGGTTTTCAAGCTTGTTTCGTCTCGTTTTTCGGTTTGGCTTTTCTTCGCGTTGCGTTTAATTTTTTTTTTTTTGCTTATTTAATTGACATTGGAAGGCGCTGGCGCTTCCAACAACAATGAGTGCCAGTGCCAGTGCCTCTTCCAACAACACTCGTTCCAGGCGCAGCTGATTCGCGCCCCGTCTCTTTCACGCTTTCCAGTGTGCCGCCTATCGATAGTCGATATCGTCTAGGGTTGCCAGGTCTGCTCAGCCGGGCAGGCGCGCAATTCGAAAATTCTGTAAAACATAACTAAATTTCACATTAATCAGTAGCATTTAATTGTTTAAGACCATAAGCGAGCGAAGTGCCTAGTCAGTGTGCCTAGTTCCAATTCAAAAGGGAAAACATGCCGGCCTTGTGATTAAAACACACATTTATTACACCAACTTGATTCGATTTTTGATTTCGTATAGCGCTCTTGGGCTTGGACACTGAAAATACATCAATATAGATCAATATCGAAGGAGTATTATAAAGCTAGCAGAACTAGCAGAATACCACCGTCTTTCTGTGTGTGTTTTTAAACTTTTAGAGTGTCTGTCGTTAGGTGTACAATCATTATTCAAATATCAATTTTATCAAGAATACGGCCCTAAAAATTCTCATAGTTTTTTTTTGTTTTTTTTTTATCGCAAAAGTTCAGTTTGTTCACAAATATGTGTGTATATGTCTAAATTTGTAAGTTTTTTGGTTTTTTCTTTTATAGTAAAAGGTTGCCACAGCGCCTTGGTTTCACCTTTCGAATAGGCCCGCTTAAGGTCTACAAATTAATATATATAGTATAGTATATATTTGTGTAAATACGTAAATATATATGTGGATATTTAGCTAAGCGAAAAAACAAACATTTGGCTATTTTATTGCTTAGCCTAAACAACACATCAATGTACATCAATAATAATATCAACTGTAAGCTCTCCTTTCGTTTTGTTTCATTTCGTTTCGTTCCGCACTGTACTGCTAGCTATATTGCATTGTGCTGACTGTACTTCGCATCTGTACTCGATCTTCTCTCTCGCTCTCTTTCGCTGACGCTGCCATCGTGCCGTCTCGCTCGCAGGCTCAAGAATTCGATTTGTGTGTTTTAGGTTTATTATTATCAATTAACTTCGATCAACTTCGAATTTTAAAGTTTAAATACATGTATTTTTCGGTTTCTTTCTTTCTCTCGCGCTAAGTCGTTAAGTTTAGTCTGAAAAAAAATGGTTGATTACCTATAACTAGATGATAATAATGCTACGAGACTAGGTATTTACGTTTAGAGATATCATGAATATATATATAAAGATATAAAAAAAAAACGTTGGGACTTTCGGGGTCCCAACCGGTTATATGCTGGTTGGAAAATTTCAAGTTTATTTCATTATTCAGCGATCATCTTGTCGAGTTTTTGTTGGAGGTTTACGGCAAATCGGGTGTTTATACATTCATATATATTATTCTAATATATAGTTGTTGTTTGTTTAGTGTAGTGTAGAGTGTGGTTGTTGTTGTTGTTGTTGGTTATACATCAATAATTTATTTATTATTTAGTAAAAAGCAAGTGCCGCCGAACGAACCCTTCTTCTTGCTGTAGGTTTTCTTAAAAGTCTACAAATTAACCATCTATTTTTAGAGCAAGCCGTCCGCTGTCCATTGTCTCTATATGGTGGGGATCTCTATAAATCCCTCCGTATGTCATCATCTCTATGTATCCGTCCAAGTCGTCCATGCAGTGTGTACTCTAGGGTTAAGTGAGTTAAGTGTGTTTCCGTTCTGGTTTGCTGGTTTTCTCATTTGGGGGTTGTGTGTTTTGTATGCTCCTCTCATACAAATCCATTGGAATTGTTTCTTACTTAGAAATTCGCATCTTAGTGCATGTAATATTATTATTATATCTTTATCGCGAAATCTGTATCATAAAATTTGACTCCGACCGTCTTTATATAATGTGGGTGGTTTTGGGTTTTGGATTTTGGGTTCTGGGTTTTTTTTTGGGGATTTTTTGTGTGGGGCTTGTGTACTTTGGAACATTATTTCTTACATCTTATTACACGCTATGCATCATCAACTTTGCTTGGCTAAAATATCTTGTGATAGTGATAGTGTTCTTTCGGTTTCTGCTCATGCCTGCCGTATTGCCTCCATTTGCGATTCGCTATTCCTGGCCAGTAAATATAGTTTATATAGTATAGTCTCAACCGATCGATCGATCCTGGCTCTCTGAGATGGATATACATATATATTCAATTACAACATACATACATTCACATAGAGAGCGAGAGATATATTGATATTGTTCAATTTTTAAGCTTTTTTTTTTGGCATATATCTTTTTCTTCTATTCGAAGCCACCATACAGCTGCTGTCCATCGACCATTTCGCCCTCCTCGCCTCCATCTGCCAGCGATGCACTGCTCATTTGGGCTATCAAAGTCATGGCCTCCATGGCATCATCCTCTGGCATTTCCTCCGCCGCCTGATAGCTCACATAGACCAGGCCCAGGGCACACAAATCTCCGTTGGCCGTGTCATAGTAGGTGATCGAGTTGACCAGATCTCCGTTGATGTTGTAGAAATTCAAATAGCCGCCAGTTACGCTAGTAGTTTCCTCTGTTGAGTCAGAAATTGGAACAGACACGGCCAAAACAGAAGGAGTAGACGAGGAGGATGAGATGGCCGTTGGATAGGCTGGGACGACTGGGAAGTAGACCGGCACTAGGTAGTCCGAATTATCGTATAATATCTCATTGTAGCTATCATTCTGCTGGTGGCTTACTAGCGGTGGTGGTGGTGCTATTTCGTACTGAATCTGAATCGGAATCTGCTGCAAGTTGTTGCTCGTTGCGGCTGCTGGCAATTGCTGATTGGGAATCGGCTGCAAATCGGCAATGGCAGCATGAACACTACTTCACCTGTGAGATGATGCAGCTAGTATATCGTGTAAAGAAATTAATGGCGTTTAAATAAATTTCTGTGCATGGTTATATGGATGCGGTTTTTGAGATCGTGTTGTTCTATTTGATCTACCTCTGTGCGCCATGTGGTGGAAGTTGCCACCACCACCGCCGCCGCCGTTGCCGTTTCCGCCTCCATTGTTGTTGTTGTTGCCTCCGCCGCCGCCGCCGTTGCCACCACCTCCTCCATGGATGGGCATGCCCATGCCCATGCCGCCCATTCCCATGTTCACGCCCATGCCCATGTTCATGCCCATCGGGTGGTGCATTTGCTGCATGTGATGCGGATGCGGATGCGGACCACCCATGTTGTGGTGATTGTTGTTGTTATGGTTGTTGTGATTGTTGTTATGATGGTTGTTATGATTGTTGTGGTGATTGTTGGGATGATGCGGATGCTGCTGCATGTGGTGCAGCGGCGGATGGTGGTGCGGATGCTGGTGCGGATGCTGCTGCTGATGATGGTGTGGCGGCATATGCGGATTATGGTGGTTGTTGTGATGATGGTGGTTGTTGTGGTGATGCGGCATCGGTCCGCCGGGTCCGCCGCCCATGTGCGGTGGGCCTCCACCGCCACCACCACCACCGTTGCCGCCGCCAATCTGATTCATAAACTGAGCGGCCTTGGCCTTGCCGTGCTCTTCCGCGAGTCGCACCCAAATCGGCTGGGATCCGCCCTCGGGCACCGTGTTGTTCAGCGCCTTGATCGCCTCCTGGGCCTCCTCGCGCTTGTTGTAGCTGCAAATGAGAGAGAAAGATCTGCTATCAATACGGGGCTTTTTCTACTATTTAGTTTATTAACTAGCTTGGGAATCTAACACTTCAATTAAATAAATATTAATATTATTAACTTGATATTTATATACTACAGTTTGTTATTATGTGAATAATATCAAATGCATGTTAATAATAACACTTTTTCTATGCAATATCACAAATTTAAATGGCATTTAAATTAGAGCTTGAAAAATATCGATCTTTACGATATTTTCACAATATCGTATCGATAATATTGATGATTTTAAGGAAAAATAAAATAAAATTAATAAAACATCAGATAAACATTGAAGTCTCCAATAAAAAATGTATTAACACTCATTTAAATTGCATTTAATTTAGAACTAGAAAATATCGATATTTTCGATATCTTCAAAATATTGTATCGATAATATTGATGATTTCAAGGAAACCAAATTAAAGCTCAAAAAATTATTATAAATATGTTTATATTAAAACTTTAGAAAAACATTGATGTTTGAAAAATTGTGGCTAGTTTTTACATTATAATACTAATTCGTTGGTTGAAAAAGAATCAGCACAAGTGTAAATTAAGTACACAAGTTTAAATAACACATAATGGCACTTAAAAAAATACATTTCGAGATAAGCACATCTAAAATTAATGACACGATAACATTACTACACAATATAGATTAGTACTCAAAGAACACAATGTATCATCAACTCATAAATAATTTCTTTCTATTTTTTTCACACTTGTAGTAAATTAGCAATTTGCTCCAACTTAATTATCACTTTGGCTATACTAAATCATTCAAAATCTGGGCCACCCTGGATGCCTATGATTCGGGATTCGGAATCGGTTTCGGGTGCTTTGACCTATTTATTTATGTGTATCATCTATCATCACTCAATACTCACCGCACAAAGGCGACGCCGCGTGGGCGTCCAGTGAGCTTGTCTCTCAGGATATTGCGCTGGACTATGAGGCCGAAGGGCGAGAAGATGCGGTCGAGCATGTCGTCGTTGATGTTCCGCGAAAGGTTGATGACGTACAGATTGGTATCCTTGATGGACTGACCACCAGGTCGGGCATACGAGACCTGTGTGGGCATTCGAAATGGGGATTATTAGGGGGCGGCAATCAGGAGGAGTAACACCCACCTTTAAACGCTTGTTGCGCACATAGAAGCCGTTCAGCTTCTGGATGGCATCCTCCGAGTCCGACTCCGTTTTGTAGTCCACGAAGCCGTAGCCGAAGCTATAACCGGTCTGAAAAGTAGGAGGCATGGGTGGTTAAAGCTGTGTATATAACTGTGACGTGCAGCAGCTCATCCAGGTGCCTTTCGGTGCCTGGGGTTGCCCTGGGCAACCAGGTAAAATTCTAATTGCTCACCTTAAAGTCGCGCATTATCTTGCAGGTGTTGATGGGCCCACAGCCGCTGAACAGATTGTACAGCTCGCGATCGGTCATGTCCTGCGGCAAGTAGTTGATAATCAGATTGGTGGCACTGGTGCGATCCATTTGCTGCTGCAGCTGCTGTTGCTGCTGCTGATGTTGCTGCTGTTGCGACGAGCCATTGTTGTTGCTTTGCCCGTTGTTTTGGCCGTCCTCGTCGCCCGACTGCTCCTGGTTATCCTGGCCATCCTGGTCGCCATCACCATCGTTATCACCATCATTATCGCCATCGCCATCGGCATCCTCCTCCTGCTGCATATGGCCATTGCTGTCCTCGTCCTCGTCGGTGGCCTCATCGCGGCCCACATTGTCGGCGGACTCCTTTAAAAATAGAAAAAAAAATTCAGGAAAATTTAGAAAAATTCAGAGGGAAAAATTAGAAGGAAAAATCCACCTCTATGTCAGAGGACTGCTCGTCGTCGTGCTCCTGGCCCTGCATCTTCTCCGAATTGGACATCTTTTCTACAATTTCAAGGCGATTTAGCTCCTGTTTATTTTTCGGGGCTTCTTAATGCGTTTTTTTTGCGTCGCAGTTCGCGCCACAAGCTGCAACGATAGAAAGAGAGGGCAAATCAATTAGGCTGCTGCACAAGTGCAAGTTTTGCGAGCGAAATTCGTCCGTTTTGCGCGGCTGCAGGATGCGGATTGAGAAAAACATCCGCAACTGCAGTGCTGCTGCTGCTGCGCCGCTGTTGCGTCGCTGTTGCTGCGCCGCTGCTGCTGCTTTTTGCTCCTCTCGGCAAAAAGCCGAATATGTGTGTGTACATCAGAGAGCAAAGGAGACGGCGCGAGATTAGCTGGAATGGATGCACTGCCCGCTGCAGATGCACCCCCCTCTGAACTCGCGATTTCGGAACTTTTGGATGCCCGGGAAAACCCAATAGAAAACAAAAAAAAACCCTGCTCTGCTGGAAAAAAAAGAAAACTATACCAACACGAAGTGCACCCATACTTGCGCACTCCAGCACTCACACACACTCGTACAGTAGTTGGCTTGGGGCACCGTGCAGTTGAAAAAGCAACACAAACGGAAAAAAAACGTGGAAAACGGCGAACTGGCTCGGAAAAACCAGCGGCGAGCAGGAAAACGGCACTCGGCCTGCGACAATACTCACTTTTCAGCAAACGGCTTCACAAACTGCACCGAAAAACAGCGGTTTCTGTGTTTTTTTTCCTCGAAACGCTAAGGTCGCTATAGAGCTGGTGAAAACATCGATATGGAACTATCGAGTGGGGCGCTAGTATCGATGGCGCCCATATCGATAGTTTCACAGCACTACTGCTAGTTACTAGTGGTCTGAGCGCATGTGCGAGACAAGTCGATAGGCCGAAAAATCGGTTGTGCTCATGGCTAAGAAAAGCTTTAGCATAGCTTTTCTCTTGTAGATTGGTTTTGTTCCAGACTAAAAAAGCTTAAATACACAGCGAGAAATGAAAAATATATATTTTTAAAATACAAAATATTAAAATTCCTGGGAAAACCAATTATAACTGCCCACCCTTGAAAGTTACAAGACAATATGGTTTAAAAAAGTAAAAAGTTTTTATCAAAAATCATAATTTGATTAAGCATACATCTAATTTTGAGTTGATTAAAATTGTTGAAAATATTAGTGCTTCATTTATAAATATATTATTGAAAGTAGTGCATTAAAAAATCCTAATAACTTGTAAATAAAATAGTAGAAGAGAAAAAACAAGAAATTTGGACAATTTAAAAAGACAAAAAAAAAATGTACTCGATATCTATATTTTTGTAGGTTGGCCAATTTAATTCACAAATGTTAAAATAATAAATAGTAGAAGAGAAAAAACAAGAAATTTGAACAATTTAAAAAGACAAAAAAAAATTTACTCGATATCTTTATTTTTGTAGGTTGGCCAATTTAATTCACAAATGTTAAAATAATAAAACAGCGCTTGATTTGGATGGTATACTCTATACTCTAGGCGAACGCTTTATTAACACAAAAAAATTAACGTAGAAAGACCTTAGACGCTAAACGAAAACCCTACAGCTCATTTGGCATTCCCGATTCGGGTCCAGAATCCTTGACAGGAATCCCGATTCAGATCCTACTCGTGGTGCGAGTAGTGTTCGTAGTGCTCCGAATGATGCACCGGCTCCTCGTAGTGGCCGTGCTCGTGGACGTGCGACTCGCTGTGGTTCTCCAGCACCAGGCCGTGGTTGTGGTTGTGCTCGCTCTTCGGGTGCAGGATCTTCAGCTTCTGCTTTGTGCCGCCGATCTCGATGGGCTTCTTCACGAGGTGCTGGTCCTCCTTCTTGATGTAGACGGGCACGGCATGGTAGTGATGGAACTTGACGCTCTGGTGCGACGTGGCGTGCTTGTGGTCCACCTCGTGGTGCAGCTCCGTCTCCTCGTGCTCCGGCTCGTAGTGGGCCTGGTGCTCCGGCTCGTGGTGTTCGTGGTGGTGCTCGTACTCCTCGTGGCCCTGGTGGTAGTCGTGGATCTTCAGGGCTCCGCTCACGGCCAGAAGTGCCAGGCAGGGAAGCTGCAGGAATAGAACAAAAACTCAGTAAAAAACTTTACAAAAAAAATTTTTTTTTCCTTAAAACTTTGAATTTTTAAACTAATCTATTCACATTAAAAAAATATTCAATTTATTATTATTTTAAAAATGGATTACCAAAAATTTTCAAATTTTATATAAAAATAAAAATTTTTTTCTTCATATTTTAAAAATTAAATTTTTTTTAATTCTGTAACTATTTTTTTAAATATTCCAAAAGACTTGAAAAATATTCATTTAATTAATACTTTAAAAATCTTGGGTTTTTGTTATACTGCAGGACAAAAAATTTAATCAGCACTTTAGACACTGAGTTCGATCCCGAAAGTGTATTTTTTTTTTATGTTTTGATCCTGGTAGAATTTAATTCCAATGCTTACAATAAATTTCAGCATGATTTTCTGGATATTTTAGTTGAACACAACACACTGAATCACTTAAAAAAATATTCGAAACCGAGGACCGAAGTTACGCGAAGTGCTCTCCTTGGCAGTGGAAGGCTGAATGTGGCTCTATCTTCGATTCCAGATTCGATTTATACCCGGCCAACCTGTGGCAAGCGAAATGTGAAATGTGCAACAGCAACACCAACAGCAATGGCAACACAACACAACGAACGGCAACGAACTTCAGTTTCAGTCAAAGTAATTTATGACCGCTGCCTGCCACAATTGTTTTGGAAAATTTCGGAAAATAGGTGCGTGCGATAGTGGTTCAATTAAAGCGGATTACGTATACGGCATGTGGCCTTTGCGGCCAGTTTCCTGCGCGCAGGAGAAAACCCGAAACCCGTTGTCAATCAACGGGTTAACAACCACCCAACTAGAAAACCAGTCGTAGCTGAAAAATTCGATGCAAGTGCAAGGCAATTAGGCGCACAAAAACAAATAAAAATAGAAAAAGAAATTGTGATCGATTCCATCGATTTTCGTTATCGTTTTCTGAATTCTAAAGATTAAAACAGAGTATCGATTAAAAGAACTATTGATATCTTGCATAGATTTCCAGATTTATTAGATTTCCATTGCCTCATATAATTTTCTGGTAGATCAAAAATTAAATTCTAGTTCTGAAGTTATCGATACATAAATCGCCATTGCAATTCTGACGATAACCACCGATTGACAGCTTCCGCGTTGCTATCGACTGTTGCAAGTTTTGACGGGGAAGGGCCGAGATTCCCCGATGATTGATTGATTGAGATGAAGTGAAGGGCTTTTCACAATCTCCATACGGCTGCTGCAAACTGCAAGTGCGTTCCCCAGGTGAAAGGTGCGTCTACTCGGAGCAATAATTGCCCACCTTTGGTTGGCCTGGCTTTTCACATCAAAATCGAAATAGGCAATTAAAATGCAGCACAATACCATTAGGTAATGGCTTCGGCGGCAGGTTAACGACTTTACCACTTGGGAAGCGACTTATTTTTACTCGCGAAATCGCCCCAAAATTCATTCCGAATGCAGCTAGTGCAGATTTATTGGGTCAGTGTGCTCTGGGCGCACACGAAAAGGCGGCTCGGCTCATATAATCGATTTGAAAAGTAAAAGTAAACTGCTTTCCCGGCCCCGCAATTTGCATAACAGCCATAACGCCAGTCTGCAAAATACAAAACTCCATGTCCGACATGGGCTGCATGTTGTAGAGCTTTGTCTCTCGCCAGCCGAGCAGATTTAATTATTAATCTGGCGATAAATCGCCTCATACTTATATAACACACCCAAGTGGCAGGAAGCGCTCGCTTTCCATATGTGAAAAATCGAAATCAAAGAGAAAAGCACCGCCTACAGGTTTAAGGATCGGTTAGGTAATCGATTCTATCGGTTCTGAATCGGTAAGCTAATCGATTCTATCGGTTCTGAATCATGAATCTGATCGATTTTATCGTTTCTGAATCGTTTGGGTAATCGATTTTATCGTTTCTTAATCGGTTAGGTAATCCAATCTATAGGTTCTGAATCCAACCTTTTGGATCACCTGCTCATCTGCTTGATAGAGAAAAGTGGGTTTAAAATTCCGAAATATATATAAATTTAAAGTGACTAAAACGGATTTAATGATGGCTTTTTAAAGGCCTATTTTAAGCGTACTTAACGAGTCTTAGATACCAGTAGCTTAGATATATCAATAAAAAGTTATGGGCAACAAACATTTATTATTTGAGGGATTTCGTAAATAAATATCAGTTTTAATGCCAAAAGTTGCACAAGCAATTGTAAATGTTATGCAAACTATCCAATTTTAAGCTTTTCCTAAAAAAAAAAAGAATTAATGCTGAATATAGATTGATAAAAAATTAAACTATACGTTTTTACAGGTAAGCCACTTTGAAATCCGACTTGAATTGCAAAAGTTATGGGCTAAAAAAGTTGAGGTGTAGTTTAGGTCACCTATCTGGTAACCCTAAACGTAGGGTTACGTTAATCAGAAGCTTGCATCCCTTGGCGCGCATGCGCAGCTTTAACTGTTCAAGAAGGCTTCTCGGAACAATCTCTCTCCTTCAATATGGATCTGGGCGATTCCAAGCTGCGCGCGGTGCGCGTGCTGGGCCAGGGAACCTTTGGCCGGGTGTTCCTCTGCCTGCAGAACGAGGGACGCGGCCAGAAGGAGCGGAGGGTGTGCGTCAAACGCATCATTGTTCGCAATCCCAAGACCGAGCTGGGTCTGATCAAGGAGGAGGTGTATATCATATCGCAGCTGCGCCATCCGCATATCGTCGAATTCCTGCGCTCCTTCAGTCACGCCGGCACGGTGAATATAGTGATGGAGTATGTGCCCAATGGCACCTTGAGGGATGTCATCCAGCAGCTGCCCAAGGGCACCGGTGGTGTCCACCAGGAGCGTCTGCTCCGCTTCTTCCGCGACATGGTGGTGGGTCTCGAGTATCTGCACATCCGACGCGTCATCCATCGCGACATCAAGCCGGAGAATATGCTGCTCGATGCCCAGGATCGCGTGAAGATCGCCGACTTTGGTATATCGAATGTGCATGCACCGAGCACTCAGCTGCAGTCGGGAATGGGCACTCCCATGTACATGGCTCCGGAGGCGATGTGTAGCCAAGGCAAGGTGGACTTCAAGTCGGACGTCTGGTCGCTGGGGCTGGTCCTCTATGAGCTGTGCCTCGGACGCAGCCCCTTTGCCGCTCTCCTGGATCAAAATGCCACTCCTGGCCAGCTGCAGGCGGTGATCCAGGCACTGGTGCGTCCCCGACTCGACTGCCAGCTCATCCGGCGGCTCTACGATCCCGTGTGGGCGCAGGTCTGCGAACAGATGGTCGTCTACGAGCAGGAGCGACGCATCTGCCTGCCGGATGTCTTCCATTTGGACGCCAGAATCACAGCGACTCTATACAAGGAGTACTTTGATTACAGCTATTAAAACCCTTAAAACATTGTCATAATTGTACTTTTAGATCTAGGAACTAGGCTAAGCAATTGATTACGATGTGTGTACTACTGTCACTTAACTAAAAACATTTTTCTAGTATAATAATAATAATAAAAGTTAAGAAAACTGTCTCCCAATAAAATATATATAAAAAAACGAGAGAGAACGCTATAGTCGGGTTCGTGTCCCGACTATCTAATACCCGTCACTCAGCTTAAGGGATATATAAAACTTTTTTGATTACGCATAACTTTTTAATGAATGGTCCGATTTGAAAAATGTCTTCTACATTTCGATAGGTATAAATATACACAACAAAATTGCATTTATACTTCTCGGATATCTTTAAAGGTTATCGTTACTGGGCGATTTTGGGCGTTAAAGGGGGTGTGGCGCTCGGCTGAAATAAACTTGCGCTGCAAGAATATGTGTGGGAAATCTCAACCTTCCAGCTTTTGTGGTTTCCGACATCTCAGCGTTCCATACTTTTACTCTATAAATATAGCCGAAAGCCTTAGTTGCTAGGGCTCTTAAATCCTCAGTTAGCTTATAGTTTTACACTGTAAGTTAGCTTTATATAAATAAATAAATGAAGAACAGTTTTGACTACTTTCATCAACTTATTCTTTAATGGCTTACTACCCATAGTAAATTAAATCCCCTACAGCTTCTGTTCCCTTTGCTGAATCTTTCGCTTCAGGCTCTTGACCAGGGCGTTCTGCTCCAGCTGCTGCTTGCTCCGCTTGGGGGCCACCGGCTCCTCCGCCTGCCCATTCGCATCTGCATTGTCCACTTCATCCTTGCGTCGCTTCAGCTTCTCGCCGATGATCTGCTGCATGCCCTTGGTGGCCTTGTAGTGCGAGTGGGTGGGATCGATGTTGAATTCGTGCGACTTGTAGACGGCCTTGAAGCGCGTATCGTCCAGGTCCACCTGGAAGTCGTCGTCGGGCTTCTCTGGCTGCTGACCCTCCTTGTTCTTGGATTTCTTTAACTGCTGGCGGCGCTTTCGCTTCGAGCCGCCCGCCTCCTGCTCCTTCTTGAGGATTTTGTTCAGGCTAAAGTGCTGCTTCTCGTCCCGTCCATCTGCGTCGTCCAGCAGGAGTTCCAGCTCCTTCTCCTGCTGCTTAGCCTCGGCGTCCTCCTCTCCATCGCCAGCCTTTCCTCGCTTCTTCTTCTGTTTCTTTTTATCCTGCTTGGTCTTTGGCGGCGCATAGTCACCATTGGCAAACTCCTCCGCAAAGTAGGCGTCGTTCAGATCGATGCCATCTGGCACTAAGGAGGCATCGCTATCATCACCGGAATCTGCTCCCCCTTTGGCCTCCAACTGCCGCTGGCGACGCTGCTCCTTGCGCTGCTTGTTCTTCTCGCTGCGCTTCTGCAGCACCTTCTCAATGGGCGTTAGATCAGCTTGGACTGGCTGCTTGACCTCTTGCGCCTCCTGTTCGTTTGACTCCACGTTCCAGGACATTTCCATCTCGTACTTTTGCTCCTTCTCCTGCTTCTCCTGCTGCACAATGTCGGCCAGCAGGTTCTTGTAGGCGGCAATGCGGTCCTGCTTGGAGAGCTTCTTGTTTTTTGGCTTTGGCTGCTCCTCCTGCTTCTCGGAAGGCTGCTCCTCCTCCCCGGAAGCCTCCTCCTCCTGGGAATCCTCCTCCTCACTGCTGTAGTTTACTATCTGTCGCAGCTCCTTGTCGGTTAGCTTGTCCACCTGCCCGCTGGACAGCTTGTCGCCCAGCTCACGCCTATCCAGCGCCGTCTCGTCCCAGGTGAGATCCACCTTGGCCTGCTGCAGTGCCGTGGTGGTAAATTGTCGCGGTTTATAGCTGCTGGCATCGGGCAGCTCATGGCATTCATCCGAGGGCGTATCCTCCTCAAACGAAGTGTCGTCTGGTATGAAGCGCAGGTCCACGCGCGTGGCGGAGCTCTCGTACTCGATGCCATCGCACTCCTGGTACACCTTGTCCGCCGTGGCCACGCTGTTGCACTCGACCACGGCGTAGTAGTAGCGCAAACGGTTCAGCTGGTACTGGCGCAGCTTCTCCATGTGATAGTCCTCGCCCTCCTCCGCATCGCTATCGTTCTGCTGGACCAGATCCTTCTCCTCCTCCTCCTCGGAGTCGTCCTGCTTGTGCTCCACCAGCTCCTTGGGCCCGTGGACCTCCTCCTCGGCCATGCGCGCCTTGCCGAACTCCGAGGGATAGATCTTCACGCTGAGAATGCTGCCGCCGGGCGGTAGAAATGAGCTCAGCATGACCATCAGATCCTCGGCGCGTATGCGATCCCAATCCATGTTGCAGACGGCCAAACGGCGCGTGCTCTCCTCCGTGTGCTCGGCATCGTTGTCCAACTCGCCCCACACATGATCTATTTGCAGTTCGGGGCCTCCATCCTCCTCCTCCTCGCTGTCCTCCTCGGAGGAGGAGGAATCCGTGAACAGGCGGCCCTCGCCGCGGGCATAGTCTATATCGGGATTCGTTAGACGCTCCCTGAGGCTCTGGGGAACCTCCTCCTGCTCCTCCTCCTCCTCCTCTCCTTTCAGGTTGGCAATGGCCAGCTCCTCGGCACGCCGCTCCTCCTGCTCCTCCAGCTGCTCCTCCTCCTCCTCCTTTTTCTCCTCCTCCTCCTCGCTATCACTCTCATTCTCGTCCAGCTCGTAGAACTTGCGCAGATCCTCGGCATTGCTCTTGTTCACCGGGCGGCCGTACTTGTCCACCGTGTACTTGACCTTGAACTTGTCCTCGGTGAACATGCCCTGGAAGCGCTTGTCGATCTTCACCTTGCGCTGCACCTTGGGAACACCGCGGAAACGGGGATCGGCCAGGAGATGCTGGAACCGGGCATCCCGCCAGATTCCGCTCTCCTCCTGGTTGCTAGGAGGAGCCTGGGAGGAGGATGTGGATGCCGCCGGCTGCTGCTCCTTCTTGCCCGGTTTCTTGACCAGTTTGTCCTTCTTTTTGGCCATGTTTTTAGTTAAATTAAAAAATAAATAAAAAGTCAACACGTGCCGCGGTTGGTCTATCGTTCATCGATTAGCGATAGCTGATACCATTCAATACGATAGGCACCTAGAGCAACCTATCGCCTATCGCTGCCCACCGAAAAGTCATCGATGACGACTTCTTGTAGTTTACCAATAAACAGTGCTTTATTTTTTAGCTTTTTTGGCAAATTCAGCCTTAGCAGTTACCCGCCCACAACCACAACGATGCCCGCCGCTGACCTCCGCAGCCAGTGAGGATCTCCCGCCAGAGGATCTCCGCCGATCTCCAGATCTCTAGAGGATTCGTTTGGTTGCTTAGATGTTTACATGTTTGGCTGCCGACGCAGTGGGAAAGCCAATCAGTTAATTGCCGCGATTGCGCCCGAATAGTCATACTACACAAAGTCAGATAAGCCGCCGCGGTTCGGGGCTATATAAAAAACAACAACGCACATACCCATACCGCTCCCGCTCCAGCAGAAGAAGAAGAAGAAGCAGCCACAAACCAAAAGCGGTACAAGCACATCGAGCGGTTTCGGGGAAAGCGGACCACCGAAAGATGACTAATAGCGCCGAGGGTAACGGGAACCGGCGCAACGTCGACTGGCAGAGATTCGGACTCGGCGGCGATGAGGATGGCGATGTGACGGTGGCCAGCTTCCGCCAGCGGAGCCACAACAACAACACCGGCGGCTTCGTCGATCTGGGCAATGAGTACACATATGCGGCTGGTGGCCACCATGCATCCGGAGCCAATGAGATCTTTGCGGGCGAACAGGGCGACAAGCCCTGGTAAGTAAAATGGGGAAGAAATTTGGGTTTATCTAGCCATGTCCGTTTGTCCGTATCTCTGTCCGGATGATCCCTGAGATCTCGAAAACTATAAAAGCTAGAAAGTTCCGTAGTAAATGAGATATTTGCGGGCGAGCAGGGCGACAAGCCCTGGTAAGTGAAATAGGGAAGAAATCTAGGTTTATCTAGCCATGTCCATTTGTCCGTATCTCTGTCCGGATGAACACTGAGATATCCTGATTGGCAGGAGGCTGGGGGGAGGACGTAGATGCCGCCACGCTTGAAATAGGGAAGATATTTGAATCGATCTAGCCCTGTCCGTTCGTCCATTTGTCTGTTTGTCCGTATCTTTGTCCGGATGAACCCTGAGGTCTCGAAAACTATACAAGCTAGAAAGTTAAGATTAATCATACAAATTCTAGCGGTTCCTAGGCAGCGCAAGTTTGTTTAATGAAGGTGTCACGCCGCTTCTAACGCCCACAATTGCCTTAACGAGCTTAAAATGTGTCTGCCGACCACATCTTTAAAGATTTTGTAAAAATTTAAAGGCAATTTTGTTTGGTTTAGTGATAGCCAGCAAAATGTAGAACAAATTTTTTAAATCGGACTACTCATTTAAAAGTTATGTGCAAAAAAAAGCATTTACCGCAAGATGGCGCCACTTTAATCTTCAACTCTCTCACACTCATTTAGCTGAGTAATAAGTATTTGATAGTCGATTCTATTAATCCTAATCATCAAACATTCCTTCATCAACAGGTGGCGCTCGAACTTCTTCATCTCACAGCCCGTGCTCTTTGGCACCTGGGACGGTGTGTTCACCTCCTGCCTGATTAACGTGTTCGGCGTGATCGTTTTCCTGCGTTCCGGTTGGATTGTCGCGGAGGCGGGCATCCTGAACGCCGTCCTGATCATCTTCTGCACCGTGGTCATCGCTTTGGTCAGTGTGCTGTCGGCAATTGGCATTTGCGAGCGTTGCCGCGTGGAAAGCGGCGGCGTTTACTTCCTGATAGCCCACACATTGGGCTCCCGCTTCGGCGGCGCCTTGGGGCTGCTCTACTGCTTCGGCCAGGCGGTGGGATGCGCCCTAAATGTCATGGGATTTGGAGAGTCCATGGCCGGACTGGTCGGACTCGAGGACAATAAGTGGGCCATCAGGGGCTTCGCCACGGCGGCGGTGCTCCTGCTGGGCAGCATCAATGTGGCCGGCGTCAAGTGGGTGATCAAGCTGCAGTTCATACTGCTAATGATACTGCTCATCTCGGCGCTGGACTTTATGGTGGGCAGTTTCACCAACGAGCCCAGTGAGTTTTGAGTACCTTATATATATAAATTTGTAATGTAAACCTGTTCTAATTCCTTTTTCCCAATTGCAGCTGGCGGCTTTAAGGGCTGGGCGAGCGGCAACTTTGTGGAGAACCTGTGGCCCAAATATGACGACGGCTATTCGTGGTTTCGCGTCTTTGGCGTCTTCTTTCCCACCGTCACCGGCGTGCTTTCGGGCATCAACATGAGCGGCGACCTGCGCGCCCCCTCCACGGACATTCCCAACGGCACTTTGGCCGCCTTTGGCACCTCGTAAGGTCACTGAAAATTCCCCCTTGTAGATACAATAATATCTGATTTTCAGCACATTCCTGTACTTGGTTTTCGTCCTTTTCCTGGGAGCCACCTGCGAGCGCAAGTTCCTGTACACCGACTACATGATCTCCGGCAAGGTGGCTGCCGTGAATTGCCTGCTGGTGGCGGGCATCTATGTGTCCAGCATGTCATCCTGTTTGGGTGCCATGTACGGCACACCGCGCGTCCTTCAGAGCATCGCCAAGGAGAGCGTCATCCCGGGCATCGATATTCTGGGCAAGGGCGTAAGTCCTCATTACTTAAAACAGTGCAGTTTTCTCAAGTTTGCATCGGTTATTCCAGCGTGGTCCCAACAAAGTGCCTTTATACGCCATGGCCATCGTGGCCCTGGTCACCGTCACCTTCATCATTGTGGGCGACATCAATTTCCTGGCCCCCATCGTCACCATGCCCTTCCTGCTGACCTACGCCTGCATTGACTACGCCTACTTTGCTTTGGCGCAGACCTTTGACATCCAGGAGCAACGCGAGGAGCGCTTCCGCATCCAGGCCTCGAGTCCCAGCTACGAAACGCGTCGCTACGGCAGTGTTTCGGACACGGGCAACGATCTGGATTTGCTCTTTCCCGATCGGGTGCGCCACAAGAACCTGCAGAGTCCGCAGAACTCACCGCTGCACCAGACAGCTCCGCTGGAGTTCAACACGAATGCGGAGGGGCCCAGCACCTCCAGCCAGGCGCAGGTGACGTCGCGGAGCCTGGGTGAGAACACACTGGTGGCCGTGGAGCCCACGCCGGGACAGGCTGCCGTCCTGGAGCAGGATCAGGAGCAGGGCCAAGGCGATGAGACCGAACCGATAGCCCCAATCCGTCCGCCCATTCACTCCAAGACGAAAAATTGGTACTCCGGCTACTGCAACCGATGGGCTTCGCTGCTGGGGGTAAATCTACTCCAAAGAGAAGGCTTTAGCTTACTAATATCTTGTACTTTCTACTGCTAGGCCTTCACCAAGCTACTGGTCATGTTGCTGGTTAACTGGTACTACGCCCTCACCTGCTTTTTAGTCGTGTTCGTTGTGTGGTTCTATGTGGGCACAGCCAATCCAGCTGTAAAGCCTGGACTCACTGCGGAGTTTAACTTCTTCGCCTGGCTGAAGAGCGTCATATTCCGGTGCTTCGGGTGAGTTTCTAGTTTCTCAAGTCTTTACATCTAATGGCATCCCTTTCCTTTTCGGTGCAAACAAACAGCAAACGGATGAACGAGTACGAACAGATCGTGGTGACGCCCTCGTGTCCCGGCGTCGATCTCTCGCCCACGCAGCTCAACGAGCAGAACGAGGACTTCCGCCCGCGGCCCAACTATCACCATTCGTCCGTCATCGAAGGCCGACTCATCGATGATATATAGGAACTGGGTGAAGATGATGGGGCGGTCGTGGCTGTGGAAATTCTCTAAGCAAAGCAAAGCAACCAAACTAAACTACAAACCTTATACGATGTACTATATGTGTTTTTGTAAGCCAGCAAGGATCAGTCTTTCCCAATCTCGGTTTTGGTCTGTTTTTTTGCTTTGTTTTTCAAAACATTTTAGTGACACGTTGTTGAGTTTTTTTTTGTATACAAATTGAGATCGTTACAGATTAGATAAGGAAATTTCATTAGGCTATTTTATAAGATTATGAGGTCTTTCGGTAATTATCAACTTTTGCAAATCAATTAATTGTAAATTATTCCGTATTATTAGATCAAAAAAAAGTTATGGATGTGGAGGCTTTTATTTTTGGACCACAGCCGCCCCCCGACCACGCCCCTGCCCACACGCACACACCCATCACTGCACACACAGAGAAAACAGAAAACAGAAAATAACAACAAGAGCTCAGAGCATTTTACTAATTATTTTTTAATTGTAATTTTAAGTTTGGCATGCTTTCGATGTGTTCCTTTAATGATTTAATGATTACTTCTTGATCGAGAGCGTATAAATTGTTGCTAAATGGATATGTTTCCAACGCATTTCGAGGAGACATATGTGATACTGAGATAATAAGTGAACCAAAAACCAGAAATCAAACTCGATGATTTGGCGCCTTGCATTTAAGACGAACACAAAGCACAATGAAATTGTTACAGAACACACATATAACACTAAACACTAAACATTAAACCCGTAACCTAAGCTGTAACCTTGTATTAGCAACTTGATGAACAATAACAGTCCCTATTGGTAATGCATATAGGCCCGAACTCCCGCATATATCAGCAATAACCGCCACTCTATATACACCCGATAAATGTATATATATCATACACATATATCCGAATATATACACCAGATGTTGATTGAATGTAACCGCGACCCAGGAGCGTATATTTCCAAAATATACCACCCAATTGTGTGTCCCCGTTTTTTGTACGTGTTTAGCCTAATTAAACCTAGTTGTACGGCAAACGTAATAACAATAATAACACAATAACTGCGATGTGAAATAAAAAGTTTGGAAAAATCATGAAACGTTTTTGAATGTGCCGCCAAAACGAGTGCAATCGATAGGTTACCAGGGCTGCGAAAAAGTCGATATATGCCGAAATCTCTGCAATTATGTTGTTTGGTGAATAAAAGGTAAGTTAATTAAGGGCTAATTAATGGGTTCTATAAGTAATGTGCTGTTTTTTCAATAAATTTATTTATATTGCTTGCCACCAGGGCTGCATGCCCACTTTTTGTGGTCGATAACCGATAACATAACCTCAAAGCCAGAGCGCCACCAAAATAAAGTTACATTTTTTGGGAATTGCAAGTCGTCCAGGACTTGACCAGCCCACCAGATACAGCCACACCACCCGCCATGAACAGCCTTGTACGCCGCAGTGCCCACCAGCTGAGCCGGTGGCGCACATTGTGCACAAAACCCGGCGCCCCGGAGGCAGCGGCGTCTCCAGGTGAGTCCCCGCTGGTTTCTCGTCGGGATTGGGGCTAATATCTATGTTCTCTGCCCGCCCCCAGGTAAACCCAGCTATGAGGAGTTCATAGGCCATCAGCAGTGGCAGGCTCGCTGCAGCATTGTCGTCCAGGTGAGCTCCGAGAAGTCGTACCCGGAGTTGTATAACTACTGCAGCCGCTTCGGCGAGATTCGCGGTGCCCAGCACTACTGCGTCCGCCAGGACGAGGCCCTGCACTATGTGCTCCTGGAGTACGCCACCCCGGATGAGGCGGCGGCGGCCATTGGAGCGGGCGTGACCAATGGCGAGCTCACGAGCGGCGTTCCCGTGCGTTCGCCCTTCCTTTGGTTTCGTGCCGCCGGCGGAGGAAGAAAGAGTGCCAAGCTAGCTCCCAATCAAGTGCCACAACTCCTCTCCATCGATGGCAATCGGCAGGTGGAGCAGGGCCACCTACTGGAGCTACTCCGCTCGGCCCAGGGAATCGAAGAGCAAGTGCAGCTGCTGCATGAACATACGCGCCTGAATGAACTGGGCATTCGGATGAGGTTTCTGGCCGCCCTGCAAGTGGAGCAGGCCATCGCCGGGATGTTTCCCGCCGCCCAGGCGCAGCCCTTTGGCTCCTCCGTCAACGGCTTCGGACGAATGGGCTGCGATCTGGATCTAATCCTCCGCTTCGACAACGATATGGGCGGGAGAAACCCAGCGGAGGCAACGGCGGAGCCATCGCGCCTGGTTTACCACACCAAGGAGAACCTGAGCAACGGCCGATCGCAGACGCAGCGGCACATGGAATGCTTCGGCGATATGCTGCACCTCTTCCTGCCCGGCGTCTGCCATGTGCGACGCATCCTGCAGGCCAGGGTGCCCATCATCAAGTACCACCACGAGCATCTGGACCTCGAAGTGGACCTGTCCATGAGCAACCTGTGAGTGTCTACTTAATTATACCCGTTAATCGTATGTAACAGGGAGAAGGAAGCGTTTCCGAGCCTAAAAAGTATATATATTCTTCCGTTTGAACGCTGAGATCTCGGAAACTACAAAAGCTAGAAGGTTGAGATTTTCCACACATATTCTTGGGCTTCCTACGCAGCGCAAGTTTATTTCACCCGAGCGTCACGCCCCCTCTAATGCCCACAAACGAATTTTTGAAAGATTTCAAAGAAGTACAAATGCAATTTTGTTGCGTTCATTTATACCTTTTGAATTGTAGAAGACATTTTTCAAATCGGACCATTCGTTAAAAAGTTATGCCCGATGAAAGTTTTAAATCTCCATCTCCCTCGCACTCCCGACTTGTTTTAACATCCTTTATAGTTTCGTAGGGATCGCAATCTTTATTGTACTTATTGTTCGAACTGGGTATTGAATTCTTAGATCTATCGCAGGGTCACTTGTCGCTAATAACTAGGGCTAACTTAACTTCAACGGCGGTAGTTGCTGGCCTGCTCTTCCTCCTTCTTGACAGCCTGCACCAGGACAAAGCTCATGACGCCACAGATGACGTTCAGCATGCCGAGGGTCATGGCCAGTGCGACAATCCAGCCGGTTTTGCCTTCGAAAAACCAGGTCAGCTCATCCACGCAGCCGTTGAAGAAGGCATTGCCGCTGACGGTGTCGCGACAAGAGCTGGGCAACGGCTGCCGGAGATCGAGATAATCCCAGGGCCCGGAGGCACCGCAGCAGCCGATATTCTCCTGGATCATGGTCAGCACATAGCTGGAGTAGGTGTACTCCGAGGTGGCCACAAAGCGGCGCAGCGAGACATTCAACAGCGGCTGCAAACTAGAGTTGATGGTGCTGAATTGCATTAAGACCGCCGAACCGGCGACAATCGCAATGAATCCAAAGATCTGGGTGCCCACGAAAACGAACAGAGCCATTGTGTTCTCCATCAAAGCACTCAGGCAGCCTAGGAAGGCGACGGCCATCATCACAATGCTGATGCCGATTAGCACGTAGACGCCGATGTAGAAGGACTGCGCCTCCAGAATGCGCAGCCAGTCATTGAAGCCGGGCTCTGCGCGCAGCCAGACGGTCAGGGCGAACAGGGCCGTCGCTATCATCCAGGCCACGATGTTGAAGCAGAAGAGCGTGTACTTCACGCAGCCGATCTGCTTCTCCAGCTGCTCGTCGGCGGTGCCATAGCCAATGCCCATGTTTCGGGAAGCTGTGGGTGGGCACAAAAGGGATCATTAAGATTGATACGAAGTATGGGTTCTAGAAAAAGGATCGCTACTTAGTGATTTAACAGAAAAAAGTGGATTTATCTTGCATTGGGCACACGCCGATTCTTCTTTGTATTTGAAAAACCCAAAACAGTTTCGAACCAAATCAATAGTATATAAATAGAACAATTTCTTGGTAATATCTACCAATTTATCTAGAACCCACAAGAACCCACTATTATACTCTATGGATGCGAATCATCAACGAGTAATCCTCCCTTGAGTCACATACCAAAAGCTCGCCCTGTTCGTTCGTTTATTAATCACGATGTTGCTTGGCATTTTATGGTTGATTCTCACCGTCCTTATCTGAACCGTGTTTAGCAAATAGAGCGTTATCAGCCACGCACTAGATGATTAATACGAACAATTGCAACACCCAAAACGATCCAAGAAATCGAAGAAAAAGAGCCAATAACTAGGCTAGTTTTCAAAACACTTTTTGTAAAATCTTTTTTACAAGTATTTCTGAATTCTGAATCGGAACCCATATATTATATGTTAGCACGTAATATGGGAAAAATCCATTATATATCTTTTGGGTGTGTTACTCATCCAAACTGTTCTTAGAAACACTTTTTGGAAAATATTTTATAGATGTATTTCTGAATTGCTAGAGTCAGAACCCACATATTTAGCACATAATATGGGAAATATCCTTTAACCACTGGGAACTACATATATCTTTTGGTTGTGTTACTCATTTTTCAGCACTTATTCGATATCACTTTAAAAAAATATAGTTTTCTTTTATTCTCAAACCCGTAAACACTTAGGATCACTTAAGATTCACCTTGTTGTGGTCGAAAAAAATAGGTTGCTCAGTGGCGAGACAAGAAACGGAAACAGAGAGATCCGTTGGGTTCGTTCGTTGAAATCGTTTTGACCAAAAACCGAGATACTGGTGACAACATCCAGGCCAGTAGTTGGCGGTGCCGTACAGTCGTTACAGAGCAGGGAGAGCGGCCTTAGATAAGAAAGCTCTGCCAGTTCCTCGATAAGATTAGATAGCGACAGGTGGCGATTGCCAAATGCCGTGTAAATACTCCCCGGTGAATCAGTTCTCTCCCGCATTGCTAGCTTCCCTGGCGTGCCAATGGCCATGATTCACCCAGTCACCCACCCACCCAACCAACCATCCATTCACCTGCCCCTGCACTCATTTCCGGCCAGTGGTGGGGGTCAGTTATCCGCTTCTCTGCGGATTCCACTCAATGAACGGGGACCACGCCCCATGCAGAGGGTATTATGATTTCAGTCAGAAGTTTGCAACGATCTAGCCATGTCCGTCTGTCCGTTCGTCTGTCCGTATGTCCGTCCGTCCATTTCTATGCAAACTAGTCTCTCAATTTTTAAGCTATCGGGATGAAACTTTCCATAAAGTCTTCTTCTTTTTATTGCAGGTAATATATAAGTCCGAACCAGTCGGATCGGACAACTATATCTTATAGCACCCATAGGAAAAAATCGGAAAAAAAACGTAAAAAAAATTATAGCTTCTGTGTTCTATTAAATATTACCTTCTACTCTTGGGAATATTATTTTTTAAATATTTATAAATATCGAATTAAATTACGAAAAAAATGGGAACGATCGGAAAATTAATGAGAAAGAATGGGAAATTTAAAATTTTTGCGATTTGTAAAATAATAGGAAGATCTGCAAGGATATATAGCTTCCTTTCTTGATTTGAATTAGATGGTTGTTTCTCAAGTTCTAAAAGCTAACTCCCCATTCCAGCACTGGCTTCTATATGTCCGAGCTGCTCTACATGTTCGGCGAAATGGATGCTCGCGTGCGTCCGCTGACCTTCAGCATTCGCCGCTGGGCGCAGTCGTGCGGGTTAACGAATCCCTCGCCCGGTCGCTGGATCAGCAACTTCTCGCTGACCTGCCTGGTGATGTTCTTCCTGCAGCAGCTTCGCCAGCCCATCCTGCCCACCATTGGAGCGCTGGCGAAGGCGGCCCAGCCGAAGGATTCGCGGCTCACCGAGGACGGGATCAACTGCACATTTGCCCGGGATGTGGAACGCGTGGGCTTTCGGAGTCGCAATCAGAGCTCGCTGAGTGAACTGCTGCTGCAGTTCTTTGAGTTCTACTCGCAGTTTGACTTCCACAATCGAGCGATCTCTCTAAATGAGGGTAGGCCGCTTTCCAAACCGGATCACTCGGCCATGTACATTGTGAATCCGCTGGAGCAGCTGCTCAATGTCAGCAAGAATGTGAGCCTGGAGGAATGCGAGCGGCTGCGCATCGAAGTGCGGAATGCGGCTTGGATTCTGGAGTCGGAGGTGGAGAATGTCGATCGGCAGGAGCTCTCCTGGGGTCTCCTCAATCTGTTTAAGCACCCCGAGAAGGCCGTAATCCGGCCGAATATGTTCTTCAAGCCGCGCATGGTCGAGGTCAGCGATCTCTTCGAGGAGAAGCAGACGAAGGAGGCTTCTAACTCCAGCAGTGCCATCACCTACAAGAGCTCCTCGGTGCGACAGCAGGTGCAGAGCATCAAGGCGGCCACACGCTCGGAACTAAAGCAGCTACAGAACAGTCCCAAGAACCGAAGGAGCAGCAGATGATGATGAGATGCTACTATCTCGACTGCCTATGTACATACTTAGGTTTAAGTAACCTATCCTATGGGTCAAGCTTAAGGTTAGGGCAAAACTAAATGTTGTTCATACTGTTAAGTCTAGTTTCCACACAATGTTGAGTATTTAAAATGACGAACGAGAACAAAATTATTAGAAGCTAACCCTAAGATATATTTCCCTAGTTAAAATACTGTTTTTTATATAATAATTAAACCAAAAAATAATATTTGTTGAAGATTTTATTGCATTCTTTCATCAATGTTACTCGGGATTCAACCACATCCTCATTCTTATCGCTATGTGTTTCTGTAATCTGTAATCTGTACCTGTGTCCTGATCTCAGGCGATAGATAACAACAGAGTTTTAGAAGTTATAGAAGACCAGATGGCGAGTTGTTCCATCTCTGCATAGATCATCCTATGCAGAGTGGTGTGTACATGGTATATAACGCTACAATACGCCGTATGTGTTCTGTTCTTTGTTCCGATTTTGCGTTTATTTTGATATACATTACTCGAGTGTGTGTGTTTCGTTTCGTTTTCGTACGATTTTACATGCGTGCGATCCTCGCTTTTGATCAATCTGTTTTTCTGTTTTAGTTTTTACAAAATTTGATTCTATTCTTTATATAGCTTTGTAATGAGTGTGCTTGCTGCGATGCTGCTGCTTCATGTTCTTGTTGTCTATTCTCTAGATTGATTCTTGTAAAGATTGTTTAATGTACATAACTAATTGCTCGCTTACGATTTTAATGTATATAATTTTATGCATGTAAATCACGTATTGCATACAAAATTGCCTTCTGTAAAATTAATCAAATTTTGGGTCCGTTGTGTGCTGCTTCTGATCTTTTGCAGATGTTGCTTTCGCTGCTGCTGCTACATAATAAAAATAATTTACAAATGAAGAGAGAGAGTCAAGGAGGGAGGGCTTGGGGGGTGAAAGACTGATGCTACGATGCTTCCTAGTTAAATAGGTACAAAAAAGAGGGCGCCGAAACAAGCTGCGGATCTCCTGGATCTCCTCGTCCGCAGGGCAGACATATCGACATCTCGACTTCTTCGGCGGCTACTTAGACAACAATTTCAACGGCAGCCGCCGGGTCCACTCATCTGAACCAGAGCTTCAGTCGCAGCGCGTCCACTCCATTGAGATAGTAGCGAAACAGCCGCTTATCACGCACGAAGCCCAGGTTCTCGTAGAGCCGCAAGGCCGGCTGGTTCCGCATCTCCGTTTCCAGCACCACCTCGTCGGCATTGTCGGCCAGCATTGCCTGTAAATTAAGCATACAAGAGTGTTATAAGGGTTTAGCTTGGATTTTAAGCCTAAAAGTATACCTTGCAAGTTTAGGTTTTAGTTTAACTATTCAATATATGAACTTAAGGTAAAGGTTGAGTATCAGAAATATGTTTCTGCCTTTAAGAAGCGAGGGATTAATAAGTTTTGAAGGAATTTTTACGAGTAACAGACATTTCTGTGTTATTTAAGACCAAAGAATCGGCGTGTGCCCAATATAAGATAGCCATGTGACCTTAAACATGCTTTGTGGCTTTACAAACTAATTTAGAAATATTTTTCTGCCTTTAAGAAGAGAGGGATTAATAAGTCTTGAACGGATATTTGTAAGTAACAGACATTTCTGTGTTATTTAAGACCAAAGAATCGGCGTGTGCCCAATGTAAGATACTTTGTGACCTTACAAACTGGAAATCCTAAACACAAACCCCCTTTTTTAGCCTCCTTCCTACCTCTATGGCCTTGGTGACCAGTGTGGTGCCGATCTTGAGCTTGCGATACTCCTTGCGCACGGCCAGCATGGCAATGTAGCCGCGCCGCACATTCATGTGCATGTCCAGCTTGCACACGATGGCGCCCACATACTGATTGTCGTGCGAGGCGAGGAAGCAGAGTTTTGGCCAGTTGTAGATGAAGTAGCGGTACGTGTATATCGAGTAGGGCTCGGACAGCTCCGCCTGGATCAGTCGCATGATGTCCTGTATTTGGGAGATTTAAAATAGAATTAGTATATATGGAAAGGCAGGGAGAAGCTGCTAATCCTCACATGCATTTGGTGCTCAGCCTCGTACTCCTTGTACACGATCTCCTCGGCTGAAATGGCAGGTTCTGGTGGCAGCTGGGGCTCCGCTGTGATGATGATGGGCGTGGTTGTGGCTTCCGCCGCCTCCTCCTTGTCCACTTTGCCACTCCCCGTCGTTTGTGTTAGTGTGTTGGCAGTGGTTTTGCTCTCCTCCGGATGATGATGAAGATCCTCGGATTCTCCTTGCTTGCGGTTGTTGTTGCTGCTGTCCACGCTTTTGTGGCTGCTGTGGTTGTTGTTGCTGCCGCCGCCAGTGGAGCGTATGTGATTGTTGTTGCTGCTGCTGCTGTGGCCATTGAGCACCTCCAGCGGAGGCGACGCAGGAGGAGCCTGCTCCTTGGCGCCATGGCCATTGCACAGATGCAGCTGCTTGATCAGGCGCCTCAGCTCCTCCTCATCCTCCGCAGGCTCTCGATCGGTATCCCCCTTCTCCTGGACATGACCATTGGTAGGCGCCTCCAAATGGTTGGGATTCTGAGAATGATTCTTCTTGCTCTTGTACTTTTTCTTTCCGGCGGCCGCCGCTGCCTGGGCATCCGCCATCCTAAAAAGCGAAGGGGTTGCTTTTCTCGGGGGCACCTGCTTCTCCGCCTGGTCTCCCGGGGGTTATGTGGAGCAAAGGAATCTGGGAATCCTCGCCTGCAACTTATTTTTGGGTTATATTTTCACAGTTGCTGGTTTTTCATTCACACACACACGATGCACGTACACGGCCACACGCACACACTCGCACGCACTCGCACTTTTCCTCTCTCTCTTCTCTCCACCGATTTGCGGAGTTGGGGTGCCACTGAGATATATCCGATCCAATATGGAGCTCGATCTATGTGAAAACTTATGTAAAATTATGTCTTGTGTCCCCCGAAAGTGGCGATTTTCCTTTGGCTATGAATAAATCCGCACCCACACACATATGCGCGAACAGCTGGCTAGAGCTGTGACCCAAATCGATGTTTAGTCGATACTATCGGTTGCGTTACGCCAATTGGAGATATCGATATTTGGCCATGCAAATCATATCGATTGCACACTATCGTTTTTATCCAATGAAGTTAATTAGCAAATAATTAATTAATTTACCTCTGCGGGAAGGTGTTTGACTATTTTTTTTATTAAAAATAACGAAATATATGTATTCCATTTGGCCGAAACGAATATCAATTTTATTCGATACCACATATTTAAAAGTTAAACTTGTATATTTATGAATTAAATATAAATACAACGTTATTAGTGGAAAATATAAGCGGCTAATATTAATCTTACTTATTTGCGTACTTTAAATAATTCGCATCACTTAAACGGAGGAATACCATACATATTCATAATTAAAACGGTAAATTCGATAGACGATAACAAAGCCAAAAATGAATACCGCCAATAAGAACAGAGAAGCCGGTGCAACCGCGAATTTATTAAATTTTCGCTTATTTCCGTTGATAAAATTGCTAAAAATTAGTTTAAAGAGTTATTTACAAGTGAATGAAGATCGGCGCAATGAGTTGCAAGCAAAATTTTGCGAATAAATGGTTAAATCTGAGTCTTTTAGGCAAATTGCCAAAAACAACTTGCGATCCACCCACACATATGCAGCTGCGCGTCGGTATGTGTATGTGTGCGTATGTTGGAAAAGCTGGAATATTCCTTAAAAGTTAAAATTACAAAGGATCATCTAATAAATCCTCAATTCCATCCCAGAAGCGAAAGGATTTAAAAACACCTAATATATTGAACAATTAACACTAAGGTAAGTGCTATTGTATTTTTATATATCTGTGCTTTTAGAAAATATTTCAAACTGTACTCAAAACATTTAGATTTTAGTCTCCATTTCGATTGATTTGTATTCTAACTTTTATTTTTTTACATACGCTTTAATTAATCTATAGTGCACCTTAAGAATATTTTCTTGTTTTCAGATTAAAACTTTTCGGTCTGTATAATCGGTTTTTTAATTAAAAAAAATATATTTACTACTCTTATACAACCTTTTCTTGATTTATAGCTCTGCATTGCAACCTTCACCTACTTTCGGTTGTCTTTTTGGGTCATTTGCATGTGCCGCCACAAAAAATACAGCTAAATCAAACCTAATCTAGTCAAATTGAATGCCAATCTCCAAACACTTTAGTCTGGAACTAAATTTTAATTTATCTGAGTTCCGCAGAGATGTGTTGTAAACTTTTTCTTATTGGTTACGGTTTGCTTCCTGTTTCTCGACGGAGGTTCCATATTTTCCACTACTTCTTTTGAGTTGGATAGTCTTGCGTAAGGATTTTTTGTCGAAAATTAATTTTCACATGGAAAAGAGTAGATTTTTTATCTGAAAATGTGATGGAAACTTGTTCCTACACTTATACAAATTTCCTGAAAAATGTAGAAATCTCTTTTGAACTTAATTTTTATGAGTGTAAAATTAAATGATTTCTAACTATACAAAAATAATACTGTTTTTGCTTAAATTTATTTCTGAACTATTTATGATTATGCTCACAAAGTTTCATGCTTTTTTTTTGTATTATGTTACTTTTAGACTAGAAACCCGTATGAACGGATAAACGCCAAGCAGGAAGAACCCCGCCTCTTTTCGTCCGTCCCCCTGTAATTTGCAGCTAATTTCGCGGCTACTTGACAACAGCGATTGATTGAGCTTTATGGCTTGTCGGTTTGATGGGGGATACAGCCCCTCCCAGAGCTGGAAATCAAAAGACTTAAGCAACGAACTTGGCATTGCTTGTTGTAATCCAACGAGAAGATATACCAAATTTTTGGTTGATATCCCCATTCGGAATCGGAACTGAGTCCTATGACGAAATCATCTCAACATTGCATGCTCTATATATGCATATTTTGCATTCGGAATTGGATTGGTTTCGATTTGATTTGGATTTGGATTCGGATTGACTGAAATTGAATAATCTTAGCCACGCGATTGGATAATTTCTTGGAATTTTGCATACGAATTGGCGGCAAAAGCGGCAACAGTGTAAGCAGTAGCAGCAGCAGCAGTTTTGCGTCCGTTTTGCTGTTTCACTTTTGGCCGGTGTTGTTGGAAAATCCGAAATTAGCAAAGCAAACAACACACGGAGAAAGTGAATGGCCGAATAAAGTAAAAGCAGCGGCGGAGAAAGGGTGGCGGAGAAAGAGGAGAGAGCGAGCGGGTGACGACAAGTGCCGCAGCCAACGCCTTATCACCTCGTTTGTGGGGATCTCAACTCGAATAATCAAACACAGATAAAAATGGATTTTTATCTTTATTTTCATTGATAACTATCAGTATCAAATGAGTAATATTTCATTTTGATCTTTTGTCATATCAATTTGTCATAGCAATTGTGATATTAACTATCAAAAATATGATAATATCGTATCCATCATGAAATCTAGAAAAGCAACGATGTTATATCTTTCTAGTTTTTACATTGTATGAAAAAACAAGCGAAGAGTCTGAGGGAACTCGGTCTTTAAAAGGGCTATCATCAAAACCTTTGGTATACTAATGTTTTTGATCGTTAAGGACTCACATATTCCACAAATGATTAAGAAAAAAGAGGTATAGTCCCCAAAACCCTAGGGTATTTGGCCTGCGACCCAAGTTCATTTTGCACATCCAAGGCGCATAAAAGCAATTCACATTTTGCGCGATGCTCCTAAGTTCCATAGCTCCATTCTCCCCCGAGCATTTTGGCCGTGTCATGTCAAGAGTTATGGGCTTTGTCATTTTTATGTTTCAGTTTTCGTTTATATTTCGTTGATTCAGTTGGGTTTTTTTTTTGGTTATTTTTCGCCCTGTTGTTGCTTGTAGTTTTCCGTGTTGCAATTCGAGTGTGTGTGCAAAAGGCAAAGTCAAAGCGCAAGCGCACCAAATGTAAAGCACTTGGGCAAACCTTACCCCCAGTTCCACCTACCTTCCCTTCGAAAAAAAGAGCTTAAGCGAGGCACACGGCTCAGCAAACCAAGACCGCAGAGGAATTTGTCGCGTCAGCGTTAAATTGTGTCAAATGTTGTCACACACAAACAAAAAGGCAGCCTCATCCTCCCTTTTTTTTGTGGCGAGGAGGTAAACATGTGTAAATGGCAAATGTTACAAATAACCAAAAATCGTTTTAGTTATTTCAAGCAAAACGTGCGCAAGCGCAAAATATACCTAAAGTTTTTGGGTCGAGAAACTGGGTTTACCGAAGAAAAACAATTACAACGAGATGGGTTTGTGTTTTAAGTAAATGCCCGTGCTCTAAATTTTTTGTATACCAAATGTTTTGGTGATAACCCTGTTGGTAGCCGAGTTCTTTGGGACTTCCAACAAGTGTTTAACGTTTACCCGGGATTTTTTGTTACTGTTCTAAAAACAATGCTCTAAATCATTTGTATACCAAATGTTTTGGTGATAATCCTATTAGTAGCCAAGTTCTTTTTAGTTAAAAGTGCTTGATTACCCAAAATATTTTGGTAGAATCCTAAACAAAACAAAAGAAACTAAAAATCTATAAACCTAATTGATTTTTACTCGGAATTCCTTTAGGAACCATTGCTCTTGAACCATATGAACGTGCACTAATGGGAACCACTGAAAGTGAAGTACATTGAGGCCCATCGACGATCGGCGATCGACAGACTTCAGACGTTCATGCGTTTCATTATGCAACCCAAGCAGAGCAGAGACCACATTGTAAGAAAATACAAAAAATACGAAATACAAGCGGAGCAGAAAGCAAGAGAAAACCAATCGAATTTGTCAATTGGTGAAAGAGCCGAGAGATGATGAAGAAGAAGTGAAATGCCCGCCTATCTGTATCTGCCCATTCGAAACCAGTCTGTCTGCATCCGTCTGCGTCTGCCGTCCATGGCAGAATGCTGCTCGGCTCACCTGTTCACCTTCCTCGATCCACCGGACCTACTAGACCCACTATACCCCCTAGATTGCCCACCGAAACCCCACCTTATCGCGGTTCGTAGTGTACTTGGTCAAGGCGAACCACCAGCGATCGATCGACCGAACGAGCGGAGCGGCGATCTGCTTTGGTGACAGGTCGCGCCTCGGGCTTGGAATCCCTCCCAAAGATATGTGTCTTCTAAGCCAAATGGATTTTTAATTGGCACTTTGGCACGAGAATATCACTATTCGAATGACCGAAAGATGTAGTTAACTATCATTATGTCATGCTGAATAAATCAATCAAGATAACCCTAATAAATATTTAAGTGGATAATTAATTGCTTAAATTCTAAATACATTTTTTATAAATTGTTATCAAAATTGTTTAACTTATTTAGTTTATTTAATATATGTATATTACGACCCTTAAATGTTTATTATAATATTATTGTATTATATGGTATATTAAATAATAATGTATTAATCAAGAAAGACAGCCCTAATAAAATTTTATGTGGGTAATTAATTGCTTAAATTCTAAATGTTTTTTTTATAAATTGAACATCAGTATTTGGAACATCTAATTTGTTAAGTATTTTACTATTTCCTTAAATTGTTTCTTACATATTTATTTTATTAAATAAATCCTTGAACATTGGATTTAATTTTATTAAATACCATATTATCATATTAGGAATAAATCAATTAAATATAAGTTCTATTTTGGATCACTTTACTCAAGTGAATTAACAATGAACCAAACCAATTTATGTAATGGCTTTAAGTGTAATTAAAGACTCACAAGTTGTCGCACTGAAATTGGGCTAAGAAAATGCAAGTATGTAATGCCAAACCATGCATTTCAAATGGGATCTAATGCAGGCAGCAACGATGCTAATTTCTGAGTATCGAGTATTTTATTTCTTATGGCTGCGACTTCTAAGAAACGCGGTAGCAAGAGCAGCAGCAAAGGCAGCAAAAGGCAGCCAAAGCAGCAGCAGCAGCGGAGTTGGCCAAGACGACTTTCAACCGGGCTCAGTACGCTGCGAACGCTCATTGAAAATGGTCTGCAGGCCGCGCATGCGCTTCAGTCCGAAAACGAAACAAAATCAAAACCAAAAACCAAACCGATTCCGATATAAAAGCCAAGCGACAGTCGCGTGTTCGCGTTTTGCTTCGTTTTAATTTCGGTTTTTCTTTCTTTTAATATTTTTTTTAACTGTGTAAAAAATAAAGTGTTGTGTGTGCTGTGCTCTGTGTGCATTGGAAGTTTGACGCCTCTGAGAGTTGTGAAAAAGCCTCTCGATTTTAAATCGATTTTAAAATTTGGAAGGCGAACGTGAGCGGCCGAAAATTGAAAATGTAATTGAAAATTGTTAGCCATGGCTACTATAAACTGGTGACAGGTTATTGTTGCTGTTGTTGTTGATGGTGAAAAAGCGGATAGTAAACCAACGACTTAGGCAACGAACTCATGAATCGTGATTCGAGTTGGCCGCACCACTGCAACGACCTTGACACAAGGGCATTGCAAAGTGGAATTACATAGATTGCATGTGCAATGCAATCATTGGGTTAATAGGATCTGTATGGGGTGGATTAAAGATGTGGTTTTTAACTTGGGACATAGGAATTATAGAAGCAAATGAGAATTTGTATACTTACACAGAAGAAAAAATTATAAAAGATCATTTCGATATGTCCAGTTCAATTTGATATTTGAAATCAAGTTATTCATATCATTTTGATGTGAATTAAGATTGAATTTATCTTATTTTTACATTATATGCTCAAAAATTATATATTTTTTTTAAATAACTGATATGATAAAATTTCTAATTGATATGTTTGAATCATAAATTTTACATTAATAATATCTGCTTTTTAGTGCTTTTCCCCCAATATCTCATATCAAATTTCTTTTGGTGTATAGATTTTTAAACAACTTTAATTTACGATTCTTGTTTATAAAATGTACTTCAATTAATTAGTTTACTTTACAAACAAATGACAACCCAAGAAGTGGGGCTAATGAAGTAACATTCCATTGTAATCACCACAACAACTGGCAGTGAAATAATGCCAGCAATGAAAACAACATAATAGTTGTTCCACTCGACACTTTTCATAACTATTATATATATGGCAGCCGAAGCAAAATAAACCGAGGAAAGAAAAGAAACAAGAAACAATTTAAAAATGAAGCCAAGCCATGTTAAGTGCTTTAATATTTATTATTACTGTCGCCGTTGTGTTTTTTCGGCAATCCGAATCCGAATTTGCTGGAGAAAGTGTCCATAAAAAGGGAAACAACTTGACAAACAAAAAGTAAAAATGAAGAGGGACGGCGAACGAAATAATAAAGACAATAATTAAGCATCTGCCAAGTCAAGAAATCAATCGACTGGGTAAAAGTGCCAATAAACAAGTCAAACACATTCAATATCCATATCCAAATGGGTCGAAAACCGAAACTCGAATGCGAAGCCACAAACCAAAATCAAAACTGAAACTAAAACTAAAGCTAAAACCAAACCCAAAGTCCAAGCTAAGCTAAAATCCCAAGAGCCAAAGAGCCAGTTGGCCAAGTTAGTCGCCTCGCCAGCGACTTGGTTCAGTTTCGGGGCTTTGGCTATGTAGTTACTGGCTCTTTCTGGCTTTTCCTGGCTTTTCCGCCCAAAACAACATTCACTTGTCAAATAGAATCCACCGGTCCACCGGTTGGTCCACTGGTGCGACTGGCCAAAACGAGCAAAACCGCCAGGCAAAAGTTGGGAGCCCATGGAGGAGCACATGGTAGTTGTAGTCAGCCGAGTAAAAGTGCTGCAAATGGAAGATGATGGATCTCTGACGAATTTGTATTTGTCGCCTGTCCACCGATGAGTCGTTCGAAGCCGATTCGGAGTGAGAGCAGCACTTTCTCAACGACTATTTGTATTGAGAGCCAAGATTCAATAACCGGAAATGGCCTGAAGATGCGCCAGACACTCAAATAGCTAACCTTCAGTGGGTTATTGAATAAAAAGTTTAATAAAAAGTAAAGAAAGTGCCAAAAAATCAACTGAGAAGACATTAAATGATATCATATGGGTATGATATATTTTTTTTCAGTTAGGTCTACCTAAGTTATTATTAGACATTGGATCATATGAAATACAGTGTTCTTAAAACTTGAATTCAAACGAACTTAGTTAGGATCTATCAGAGATCTATTTTAATGTGACACGCAGAAAAAAAATGGATATGAAATAGAGTCAATTCTATCTTATTTCATATTAATGTCAAATTTATGATGCAAAACATGTCAACATGATATTTTATCATATCATTTTTTTTTTTTATAAATAATGTAAAATAAGATAAACATAATCGTTATTCATTTCAAAATGATATAAATAAATGATAACTTGAGCTGTAAAAAATATAATAAGCACAACATCAATTTGATATTTTGTCAATTTTGTTTCTGTCCAGTGATAAGTATTTATCAGGAATATAAATACTCTTCTAGGTTCTTTGACCTACAAATTAGTAGCTTTGACACACTTTCGAGCTATATATATCTCTTTCAGATTACGGTTTCAAGTAATGCTCAAAGTACACATTGCCCTTCTCCCATCGCCCAGTTACCTTTAGTTATTGCACTCACTTCTTGAAGCCAGGTAGATTAATGACTAGTTAATCAAGCTGACCTCTGTTGGCTTTGTTGGCCAGCTTCCAGCTTCCATCTTCCAGCAAGGCTAAGTGCTCTTTGCTCTTGATTAAGCCAAACTAATGAAGCCAAGACAATTGTCTTTTTGTTTTTCACAAAGTCCACCACTGTTTCCTCTTTTTTTCATGCTTCTGCTGCGCTTGTTACTCTAAATTGCTGTGTGATTGCTGACCAAAGGGAAAAAAGGCTGTAAAAGTTCACGGTTAAAGTCATTCGATCCAAGGGCCTGGAAGCGAAATGTGGCTAATAGTGCAATTCACTAATATAAACGGTCCGATTTTTTCCAATGTTTTCAGGGACTTTGATCTGAAAAATAGTATTTTGCGGAATATAATTTATAATGAAAAATTATGTGATTCTAAAGCTGGTTGGGGTCCTTTATACATTATTTCCGAATTTATAAACATTTTTTTTAGATTTTTATGTCAAGCCGTTTTAAATATTGAAGCTACCTACCGTTTTTATAAAGCCTTTTTATATTGTTATAGATTTATTAGAAGTCAAATGGTAATCATTTAACCTCGGATTTTCTGCAAATGTTCTATTCTAAACAATTGATACCTAGCAATCTTTATTTAAAGAACACTTTGTTCTCAAAAATTTAAAATTAAATTAAAGTTATAAATAATTGTTTTATTCAAATGTTGAGAATACTGTTTTGCATTCAATTGACACTTTTGACACACTCTACAGACACTCTCACCGCAAAAGTTAATTGCCTTGCCAAAAGTCGAGTTACATTAGCCGTTGGACTGACCATTATTCAACACTTCCTACTATAATACAGCTGCCATTCCACCCCGGATCTTTAGCCTTTAGCTCGGACTTTTGACGGGCTTCCGCCTGAGGAGACGAGGTGTCTGTCTGTCGGTTTAATAACGATCATATCATATCATATCATGGCTCAATGAAATGTTAGGAAAATGGAGAATGGAAAACGGAAAATGCTGAAAACTAAACTATGATAGATGTCCCAGGGACTAGGTTATCGAGCAGTTAACAACATTAATTGGCGCCTGGAATTACTTAATACACGTTTAATTGTTACCACACACAAAAAAAGAGCTCAGAGTTGCTCTGGGCTTAATGCGCTTCACTGACGTCGTCGTCATCGCCATTATCATTATTATCATAATCATCATCATGATCGTCGAGTTGGCTTGTCTATTGTGGTTGTTTCTACTGGATTGGAAATGCACTCACCCAAGATTGGCTCACATTTCGTGTGCCTGCCGCCGCAATGGCAACAAATTATTTGCGTTTTGATTATATGGCCCATAATACACACGCAAAAAGTCACGCACACGGAGCAAAGTCGATTATGAAATTTAAATGCATTTTTCCCCTTTTCGAGGTTTAATCGCTCTCGGTCTATGCAAAATGAAATTGCGTATGCTACATGGCGGTAGTGAGTGAAGATTGAACAAACAAATTGTCAACATAACCGGCGTAACTCGAGTTCTACGCTGGATGGATAACTAAATTTTGGTACACAATGAGCTGGGATGTTAGGAATAGGATATACTTTGGAATTCAAGGGCTAAGTTGAGTATTCATCGTTATAACTGACCTTACTTGGGCTATAAATACTACATAACCGGGGTAACTCGAGTTCTAAGCTAGCTGTATAACTAGATTTTGGTGTACAATGAGATGGGATGTTGGGAATAGGATATACTTTGGAATTAAAGGGCTAGGTTATTAATTTATCTTTAAAACTCAGATTACTTCGGTTATAAATACTACATAACCGGTGTAACTCGAGTTCTACGCTAGCTGGATAGCTAAATTTTGGTATACAATGAGCTGGGATGTTAGGAATAGGATATACTTTAAAATCCAGGGGCTAAGTTGAATATTCATCGTTATGTGAATGTTTTATAAGAAAACCTCTATGATGGTATGCTAATACTTCGTGTCATCACTCTTAGCTTGGAGTGAATGATATACACATTTAGTGTGTGGATGTCAATGGACCTCAATCCCAACCGACGGCATTCCAGAGGTACTTCGAGATGACCGGCTGCCACTTCAATTCCATTTCCAATCCCATTTCCTAACCCATTCCATTCAATCCCGACTGCAACTTGTGGCTCGTTTAGAATGCCCGGCACGTAGGCTCGCAGTTGAGTTCAGTTTAGCTGAGTTTAGCTTAGTTTAGTTCAGTTTAGTTGGCTTCCAGCGGCATAGCTTGGCCATAACTAGCTCCGCACACGTTTTCGACCAGATTATCTAACAGTTCATTTCGCTAACGGCTTCGCTGCTGCTGGACAACCTCGTCAACGTCTCTTCGTCTTCGTCATCGCTTTCTACGGCTGGCTCTCATTTAATTTATGATTTAACTACGGCAATTAAGTGAAAATTAAACGCTCCGATAGGTTCAATAGATGCACTACAGCCCCTCCTCCTTGTCCCAAAAAAACGAGAGAAAAAAAAATATCGCTTTTTATTATAATTTGGACAAGATCTTCGCCGCAGGCTATCCATTTTAATGTCCATCCATTTCCATTTCCCTCTTGCATCATCTCTTGCCTTTCATCCTGATTTCTCAGGATCTCCAGCTCCCTCCTCCGATTGCGTAATCCTCGAAAATCTTTGTAAATTATGGTGATTCAACACTGTTCAACAAGTGTTTTCTGATTTTAAGTTACGTCTTGTTTGCTCTTAGTTTCGTTGGTTTTGCTTTAATACATTTGTTCAACTTGTCCACATATTTGTCGCCGTCTTTGGGTACTATTTTTTATGTCTATGTCGTATGATTTTTTTTCTGCTTTCGGCTTTTGGCAGTAAAATTTGTCATGCATTTCATTGTCGGTTATTAATTCACCTAACCCATTCTCCAACTTTTCCTGGGCAGAAACTTTTGTCTCTGTGATTGTTAAAAAAAGCCGCACACATGGCCAACCGATTATTACCATCTTTGATCGACGTTGATGAAGCTACCGAACTGGATGTAGATGTGGATGTGGAAGTGGAAGTGGTCGATGGTGGTCTGCGGTTGAATGAGTGGTTAATATGCTTGAATGGTCGATGGGTCATTCAATAGAAACACGAAAGCGAAAGGTGTCATATAAGTCTGGGCAAGTTACTTTTAGAGTGCTGTACTTCTTATGGATTGGGGTAAAGATTTTTCAAATTATGCAATACTGAATCCCAGCATCGGGAACCTTTTTTATTAAGGTTACATATACCATAGATATTTGGGGATAGGAAGTGATATATTAGAAGTTCTAATTTAGAACTTAACAGGGAGAATTCTAACGTAAGACATTTTTGCTTGAAAAATATCAACAGTTTGCTATTTTCCTTTAAAAAATAGATATTGTCAAAATATCGAAAATATCAATAATTTTTTAGCTCTATTGCATATGCTTGAATCAAGTTGAATTGGCGGTATCAAAAAGTGGTTGAATAACTCAATGTAACTGTAACCATTAAACTATGATATTGAGAACACTTAACTCAAAATAAGAATATTTGTGCTTCCAAGGTTTTTGAGAACGAATGTTCTCGATTCAAGAACAATTTGCCTCATTTTTTTTAAAGTTGGAATATCACATTTTTCTTCTAAGACCGGAGACATATTTTATATATTTTTCTAGTCCTCGATCAGGATGTTCCGTTGGGATGGGTGCCTGGCGCTGATCGTCCTCCTGCAGCTGGGAGGCGTGACGCTCGCCCTGCCAAACATCCAGGGCGTGAACGTGCAGCAGCAGCTGGACAAGAGCTTCTTTCAGCCGCCGGAAATCGAGCAGACGATCGACGAGGTGCAGAAGATACTGGCCAATGATCCAGCCCTGCCAAGACTGACGCGGTGAGTGGGGGTGAATATTAAGATCCCAGATCTAGTTTCTAATATTCTTTTAATTTCTAGGGGCGAAATCGAGGAGCTGTACGAGAAGGTGACCCGCGAGGAGTACGAAAAGAGCCTGGAGGCGGGCGACATGAGCCGGGCGGACAGCATGCGCGCCCTGATGCTCGTCCTGCCCTTCAACACGGACAACAACACGGAGGAGAATCTCCAGGAGCTGTACACCCGGAAGCCAGTCACCCGGGTCATCGATGCGTATACCCCGCCGGATCCAGTGAAGTTCCTCACACCAGATCCCTCTGCTCTGCCAAGGAGTACGGTGCCTGGTGGAAATCCTGCCGTGGCAGCGACCACCTACAAGCCAGCCTACAGCATACAGCAGAATCATCCTCTCCAGCAGCAGCAGTTTAGACCCATGCCGCAGGCCACCACCTACCATCCGCCGGCTCCACCACCGGTGGTCTATCAGGATTTCAAGCCAGTCACTGCTGTTGCTCCACCTCCTCCAGCCGCCGCTAGGTTTAGCTCCCACTACAGTGCCAAGAATGCGCAGTTCCTGAGGAAACCCAAACCGAAGTCAACCTCCTCCAGTACAGTGAAGCCCGTGGCGGACATACTCGAGAGTTTGGGCATCGTTTCGGGTGGGAAAAGCGATTCTTCCGGTGCCGCACACAAGCGATATGCCTTGGATGACTATTATCTCCCAGCGGAGAGTGCCCCGCAGCCTTCGGTGGTGGCGGTGGCGGATCTGAGGGGCCTCCAGGGAGCACGCATCCGACCAGAGGCCTACTCGAACTTCAAGCCCTTGAATATTGGCGAGGAGCTGAGGGTTAAACCCGAGGTGGAGGGCTATCTCACAAGATTTGGGATTGTTAAAAAAGCACCCAAGGCGCTGAAGAAGGAGGTGGTCAAGCCAACGGAGGAGCCCACTGGTGCCCATACGGAGCTGTCCACGGCAACGGCCAGGTTACCCAGTGCCAATTCCAATCCCACGGGCAACGCCGAGTTGGCCAAGCTGCTGGAGAATCTCCAGGAACTGGAGCGACTTCAGTTGCAGACAAAAAGAAAAAGTACTCCTACGAAAAGCAGCACTACCAGAAGTACTACTACCAGTACTACTACTCCCAGCACTACTACTTCTAGTACCTCCACCAGTAGTACTACTACTACAACTACTCCTTCTCCTTTACCCCTCATCACCCATGGCGAACCACTGCTCATCGAGGCCAAGAAGCCGCGCCGACGCATCGATCCCAATATAGACTTGAACTTTGCCAGTGCGGGCAACCACCAGACGACGGCCAGCAGCTCCGATGAGCTGTCCAAGCTGCTGCAGAACCTCCAGGAGCTGGAGAAGCTGAAGATCAATCCGGAGAATGTGATCAAGGCGGCCAGTCCGAGTGTGCAGGAGTTAAGCAGGGGTTTTACTACTACTACTAGTAGTACTACCACCACCACTACTCCTTCTCCCGCCCAAAATGAAGCAAGGGAGCTGCAGCGAATCCTCAAGCAGCTGCAGCAGTTGGAGCAGCAGCAAACCATCAGCAGGAAGACCAGCACAACGAGCACCACGGTGAAGCCGACGAGGAGTCAGGGCTTGGGCCTGGGTGCCGCCGATCTTCTCCAGCTGCAGCGACTCCTGAGCGACGATCGCGAGCTGGAGAAGCTGTACGAGCAGGCCAGGAATGGGAAAAAGAAGCAGCAGCCGAAGGTGACCACCAGTAGCACCTCCACTTCAACCACCTCTACAACCACCACGCCACGACCCACTCCCTCGGTGAATCATGAGCAATTCGCCGCCTTGATTACCCGCGTCCAGCAGTTGGAGCAACTGCAGCAGCCCAGCAGCACCACGCCGCCTAATTTCCTTACCAGAAATGTGGCGGGATCGGGGATCTTTGAATCTCTGCCCAGCAACGATTTTGCCCATCTGCAAGAGCTCTCACCAACCTCTTCCTCCCGAGGAGGAGGAGACCTGCTCCAGGTGGAGATCTCCACGGCGGCATCGACTTCCAAGCAAAGACAACGACCTCTGAGTCACTTTGAGCGTAGCAATGGCCTCGCCCGGCAGGACGAAGTGCATCCGCAGGACTATGTGCAGCTGCAGAAGCTGCTGAGCAAAGTGCAGGAACTGGAGAGGGTGCAACTGGTGACCCAATCGCAGTCGCAGCTTCCATCTCAGCTGGTAACCGCCGCCTCGGTGCGCACGCCCAATGTGAAGACGCTCAATGGAGCGCACATTGTCTACGCTGAGCCGGCGAAGGAGCAGCAGGTGGATCCCGAACCTGAGCTCAAGCTGGATCTACCCGTTTACCAGAAGCCTCAACAGACAGCCTCTCAATCCTCCAGCGAGGAGCTGCGTGAACTGGCCATGAGCCAGCCCGCCCATCCCAGCGCATCCTCGCCAGACTTTCGGGAGTTCCAGCAGTTCTTTGGCAGCCTGGAGGATACGGGCGAAAGGCAGAGCTACCAGCATATGCAGCCCATTTATAAGCAGGCTGTGACTCCTCCTGCTCCGCCTCGTTTTGTGCCCGCCAGGAGAATGCCTAGTACTACTCCACCTAGAAAAGCAGATCTCGAGGAGCTGCAGAAGCTGCTGTACAACACCCAGCAGCTGCAGAAACTGGGCGTGGCCCTGCCCCACGAGCTCTCGCAGCAGTTGGAGAGCCAGCTGCAGGCCACCTCCACCACATCCTCCTCCACAACTAGCACTACAACTAGCACAACTCCTGCTCCCGTTCAAATCCATGATACCTCCTCGCCGGCTGTCTTCTCGCTGACCACCAGTCGTCCCAGGGAGGCGAAACCCAAGCCCCAGACGACGGAGAGCAGCCTGCAGCTGCCCGTTTTCAGTGCCACCAAGATTATAGAGGCGGCCATCAAAAGGGCGGCCAATAGGATTGGTGTGAGCACTGAACTGGCGCCCAAGCAGCAGGGAAATCTGCTCAAGGGTTTGGGCGTGGGTTTCAGGCGACGCAGCGATGAGGGGGATGATGAGATGGAGAATCTCCATGAGGATGAGGAAAGAGAGGGCGAACTGGATGGCGATCTAATGGCAGAGTTCAGTGAGCTCAACTATCAGCTGGCCAAACCGGAGACGACGCTTAAGGAAAAGAGGGAGGATCAAGGAGGATCAGGAGGCAAGAGTCAGCTGAGCGAACTGCAGCGCTTGATTAGCAATCTCCAGGAGCTGCAGCAGCTCAATGTGAGCCTGGATCAGGTGGCTACAGTTCCTCCTCCTCCTGTTTCACCAGATGCCGCCTATCTGCAGTCCCTGCAAAATGGTCAGGATGAGACCTTAAAATCAAGACGACAGAGCGAGGGAAATGGAACTGCTAGTACAGAGGAGAATAAGGAGGATACAACCACCCAATCCCCCACCAAAATCAGCTTGAATTTGGGCTTGGATGATGGTGACACCAAAGGAGCAGGCGAGGAAGTGGAGGATAGTAGTAGTACTAGTAGTTCTAGTACCACCACAACGACAGAAGAATCCCGTAATGGTTCGCTAGACGACCTGGCCGACTCTTTTGGACCCGATCCCGTCAGCGAGGAGCCACCGCCGCCGAAGAAGAAAAACGGCTTCTACTTCCTGGCCGACTGGAACTCGTTCCTCGAAGTGGGCGACGGCGATGATCAGGTGGTGGTGCGTCTGAGCCCTAAGATCGGGGATCCGCGACTCTTTCTGCCCGTCAAGATTCCCTCGTAGGAGTGGCTGTACTCCCTAAGCTGTACATATGTTATCCCTCCTTCTAATTCCTCATTCCAATACCTCGATTGTAACCCCTTCCGTAATGTGTGTGTATTTATTGTAGTCACTATCCCACTCTCCATTCGGATCCCGAATTCTGAATCTGAATCCCCCGTAGTCGTAAGCTGGGCCTAGGCTGTAAGAGTCAATCACCAATCACTGTCACCGAGTCGTGGTTAATGCTATGTATATGTGTAACTAGAGCTCTCGAAATAAAGATATATCTACTTAGTTAAAAGATACAAAGTGGCATTATTTTTAGGTAACTGGAGGTTAAAATAACAATATCTTATATCGAATTTTGTGACGGAAAAATATTGTATTTTTTTAAATATAAATATATAAAGAGATAAAAAGTTAGCAATGAACGTTTTGGCCGCCAGGTGACGCTTTGCTTTCTGAGTGAGGGGTATCTGATAGTCGATACACTTGACATTTCATTTATTCATATATTTAATTACGTTTACAAATCAACATTTCACTTACAAAAAAAAAACAATTATCAATATTGATATTATAGAAACATATTAAGATATTGATATAAATATTTAGAGTTTTAAGGCTCTAAAATATAATTATAATCAACATTTCACTTAAATAACACTTAACCTCCATCTGAAATCCAACTCATTTGGAATTTAATTACAAATTAAACACTTTTACAAATCAACATTTCACTTACAACCAAGAAAATAATTATTAGTAACAATAATTATAGAAAGATGTTAAGATATTGATGTAAATATTTAGAGTTATAGGTAGTTCTACGCTATAAATATAATCTCTACACTTGACATACATCTGAAATCCATCTCATTTTATCTGATATATAAGATATTATCTGATATTATCAGCACTGCATCCAGGGCTCTAGTAGTCCGGCTATAACCAGTTCATAGAACGTGACGCTTCTGGCTTGGACCACGGCCAACGAATACATGGCTCCCGGTGGCCGTCGGAGGGGCAGACGCAGGGATACTAATTGCAAGATCTCTCCATTCCCATCCGATTTGGATGCTCGAAATCTGGCAAACTCCACGAATCCCTGAACTCCTCGATAGATCAGCACCCTTATCCGGCAGCATCCCTCCACGAAGGCCAGCAGTGTCTCATCCCTGATCCTCAAAGTGACTAGTTCTCGTGCTCCTCGCTCGGCGGCCAGTGATTGAAAGAGGGAACCATTCACATGATGCAATTGGATGTGGGCGGCGGGCGCGGAGGAGGGCGTGGTGGGCGGTAGGCCATCCGCAGGTTGCAAAACGGTCAAGCGGGCGTAAAGGAGGCGGCCACGACTGGCGGGACCCACAATCAAGCGGATGGTGGAAACAGGTCGCCAGTCCGGCGGCAGAAACTGCTCTTCCCGGTTCGAAGAGGAGGCTGCCTCTGGGTTCTCCAGGTCCTCCTGCTCCTTGAGATCCTCCTTCAGCCTTCTCAATCTCTGGATAACAGCATGCAGCTTCTCATCATCATTATTATCATCTGATTCCTTGTTGGCCAACGTAAGAACATCCAATAGCGTTTGCTCTAGAATTATTTCTTGAAAGCGTGTTAGAGTATCATTATCCTGGTCATTCAATCCCCGCAGCTCCTGCAGCGTTGGCCAGATGAGCTGGGCACTCCGGGCGGCCAGCACTTTGGCCGGAGTATTCGGCAAAGGTAGAGTGTCTGTGTTCAGATGACGACGCAGGCTATGCAACTGATGCATTAGCTGGAGGAAATCCTCCACCAAGTGCTCGTCAAAAAGATCGCTCTCGGGAATACTCAACTGGGTGATGTTCACCTCCGCCTGCAGTTGGAATTCTAAGGAATCCAGCAGGCGTCTGCGCATCCTGGCGAGATCCAGGGGATTCGTTTCGTTCTCCTGCCACTGGGAACCCAACTGAGATTCAATAATGGGACGCTTTAGATACTTGATGGCCTGCTGGTATTCCCAACTGTGAATGGGTAAAGGTCGCTGCTCGTGCTGCTCCTTGAGATTCCTCAATGTGTCCTGGGGTATCTGCATTTTCTCTGTATTTATTGTCTTATTGACTTGCCAGCCACTTAAGAGAATGGGTTTCAATCCACTGCAATTCTTGGAGGCTTCATTATCATCATCCCGCAACTCATAGCTCGTCATGAAGGCAAACTCCTCCTCTTTCTGGGAACTGGAACTCAGAGCAACCACCTGGTCTATGGGTCCGCTCTGAAAGCCATCTGTTCGATCGAAAGAGGAACCATTCCATCGGTGAATGCGGGTCCAGCAGCCTTGCTCGTTAATCAACAGATAGGCTAGGCCTCCCGGCGCCTCCAAGGCAAAAATCCTACGTATATTCGGCTGATCCTTCGCCTGCTTCAGGGAGAAACTCTTGCGCAGCCTTTGCACCTGATAGGGCAGGAGAATCCGGGACAAACCCTCGCACAGCTCACGGTAGCTCTCCTCTGGAGTCTGGCGACGTGGTCGCAAATCATCATCATCCGAGGATTGCTTCACTTTCAGTTTATTTACGCGCCAATTGCCGGTGATCTCCTGCTGATCCCTGCCACGCGCCCACAGGCTTCCTTCGTACCAATCCTTGAAATCAAAGCCGTTTAGTTTCTGTTCGGCTTTTAGAAACGGAGCATGCAGGGTGGCAAAGTACAGCGGTGACTGGAGGAGCACTTGATCCTCATCCAAAGAGGCCACATCGCTGAGATTCAAGCCATTAACAGGAGAATTAATCTCCAGATTTCCGCCAACAAAAAGGCTACCCAAGAATAGAGGTGTCTCCACATGCTGCTCTTTCGTAGGATGAATCTGTAAAGAAACCGGGATTAATTGGTATACAAAAAGAGGGAGAGAATTCAAAGGGCAATTACCATCAAAGTGTTGGCATATTCCTCGGTTAGATTATGGCCATTAACCCTTCCATGGACCACCAACTGCCCGTCGAGTAGGAGTTCGTCTGCCTGGAGGGGATCACTTAGATGCTGCTCTGTGTAACGGGTGACCACTCGCGAAAGATTCACTTGATTGAGCTCCTCCACTTGCAATTCATTCCCATCCAGCGATCCCTTGGCAAAGGTCACTGAAAAACAAGAAAGGAAGTTAGCATTGCAGATCATTCCTACTAACTTACAAAAACATTAAATTTAGATTTACTTGCTTATATAATTATAAGCTATAAAAATGTTTCTGTTATGTATTTCATGGTATTTGTACTCTACGTTTTATAGCCTTTAAATTGGCTAGTCAATGTAATGAATGCTATGTGTAATACTAAAAAAAAAAAAAAAAAACTAGCTTAAAAATTGAGAGGCTAGTTTACGTAGACACGAACTGACAAACGGACGGACCCTCTGCAAGGGTATAATAAAATAAGTTTTATATAATAAAATAAGTTTTTGGATGAGCGATACAAAGAAGAATCGTCGTGTGCCCAGTCTACTCACTTTTCTGCATTTGAATATCGCGATCCACACGAATCGTATCGCGGAGCCACTGACTCACATTGCAGCCATGGAGGAGATCTCCAGTGAGTACGAGACGATCTGCTTGCAGCTGATCCATTTTAACGGAGGATGCAAAGCGAACGGGGGTTTCTACAATAGCTTCCTCGGGCGAATCTACATAGATTAGGGATCCCAGGAGCTGATCCACATCGAGACCATTGAATCGATTGATGTAAGCTCCATCTTCGATGCGAATACGACCTGTAAAAGTTTTGTGGTCCTGCAAATGGGCACCGCCACTTGGCTGCTGCTTGAAGATCAGTTGATCGAAGAGCTCCCTAATAGGCTCCTCGCTGCGATTGCCCAAGTGGCCCAGCACCACCAGATTCTCCAGTCCATGATTTCCTCCCGGCAGTTCAATCAATCCACGATGAACGAATCTTTGGATAGTGGGATCCCAACGGAGGAGTTTCTCCAGTTCTCCGGTTACTCCGCCATCATTCAACTGCAGTTCCTCCACAAAGAGTCGTCCTAGGAGACGGACATTGCCTTCCAGCTTCAATGGACTCACTTTATTAGCCACCCGTTCGAAGGGAATCCCATTGAGGGCCGCCAATCGGAGATCTGCCACGTGAACGGGAGCCAAGAAGCTTTTGGTGCCCTCAATTATCATTACTTCCTGGCTATCCGAACGCAGCACGATGTCGTCTAGCAACTCGGGAAGCAGGCGATCGTTGTAGCTGCCCAGGATTCGTAGGTTTCCCTGGAACTGGGGAGCTTCGGCGAGAATCCAACGCGTCCTCAGTTCATTGGGTCTATCCAGCCACACCACCTGTCTTTGAAGTTCGTTGATATCCACTCCGTTTAGGGTTTCCACCTGGACTTCCCCGCTCACTTCGATGTGCTCCACTTGGAGGCGTCCCTGGAGAATCAGCAAGGGCAGCTCGTCCAGCTGCTGCAGGAAATCCAGCAAAAGGTTGGCCTTCAGGCCCTGTAACTTTTGCGTTTGAACTCCTCGTGGGAGAAACAGTTCCTGGACATGCACTTCACCCGACCAAGTGTGTGGTTGCTCCTGCAGTAAATCTCCCAAATTCTTGCCATTCAAGAGTCCATCACCAACTATATCATGATTGATTTGAGCTTGTCCTGCTAACAAGCGACTAAAGTTGGCTCCCTTGAGATGAAGCGGTTCATGGAGCCGCTGGTAGCCACTCGATAGAGGCACCTCGTTCAACCTGCTCTCCACCTGAAGGCGGGAGAATTCTGGAGGGGATTGGCCAACAAAACGCAGGCGAGTGAGGGGGGAAATCAGCGGCCCATTATTATGATCCAATCGCAGACTCTCGGCGAGCAGCTCTTCGATTCGAACGCCATCGTAGGCGAAACCCTCGGCAAGTTCCAGCTGATGAAAGTAGACATAGCCACCTAGTTGGCTGAGATTCCTTAGCGTTTGCTGCGTATGTTTGGTTACAAAATCATCGAGGGGAATCCCAGTGAGTCGCTGATCCGCCACATGGGCATCCACTGGCAATTGAAGCTGATCCACGTGCTTTCTTCCCCCCACAAGTAGTTCGTCGCCCGAATTCTGGGAACGCTGAACGAGATCGCCCAGCAGGGAGTCCAGGGTGTCGTTGTCCAGCCCACCAAGAAGTCGCACGGGACCGCGCACAAAAAGCTGATCGAAATGGCAGTCCGCTTGGATGAGACGCGATTCCAGCAGGGTGGGATTCAAGGGCGCCTCCTCGAACTGGCGGCCCTGGGCGCTGCCATTGAGCTGCAAAGCATTGGCAAGGGATTATTTTCAGGGTTCGAAAAATAACACACAAAGTTTTAAGTTCAAAAAAAGTTGTTGGCTTGTGTGTAAAAAATTGTATTCTACATATATTAGAAATATAAATAACACACACATGACATTTGTGTTATTTACACTACGTCTTATTAACACGACGAGTTTTTTACACAGCCTGTTTTTAACACAATGAGTTTTTGACATTAAAGTGTCAAAATTTTATGCTGAACTGAAAAATGCACGGTTTTCTAGAGTATAGGAATTCAAAACATATAAGATATCATGGCCCATAATAGTTTTTCATTTTCCCTTTGACTCGTTAATGTCAGTGAAATGTAATTTTCGTGTGCAAAAAAACACGTCGTGTCAATAACACATTGTGTAAAAAACACAAGTGAGCTGTGTGTGTTAACAATTATTTTTCACATTTTAAGACTTTTGTATTTGACACACATGTCAACAATTTTGCTCACACTGTAAAATAAGATTTTCATAGCAGGTATTTGCGACGCAAAGAAGAATCGACGTGTGCCTTATAGTCTCACCTCCAATTCCTCGGAAACCTCTAGATGCGAGAAAGTAACCCATCCCGGCCAGTCCTGCGAATCGCTGAGGGTGATGACATCCTGCGGATTCACGGCATTAATGGTTCCCGAAGTGTCCACGGCATTGACAGCTATAAAGGGGACTTATTAAGTGGATATTCTGTTTTCTATTTCAAAATACTCACAGAGCGTTTGGGTAAACTCCTTGGGCGCTTGCACAACACTCGTCTCGTTGCCCTGCGACCAGAGAAAGTCTCCTGGGAAGCTAAGATCGTTGAGAGAGTTGACATGAAGAACATCCTCAAATATGATGGGCTGTTGAAGATTATAGGAGGTTATTATTAACATAAGATGTGTTATAGAAACACTCACTCCCTCCACATTCAATTCAGGCAGCTTGAGCGGCTGATGACGCCACACTAGTTCCTGAAATAGTTGATTGCACGGCATTCCATTGATAAAGCTGCACTCCAAATCGCCAGTAAGATGCAGTGACTCATGGGATTCGCTACCTTCGACCAGGACAAGCTCCTCCTTAACGGCCTCTAGTAATTCCAGCTCCTGGACATTGAGGACACCTAGAGGCAACTCCAGCGAGGCATTCTGTATGTAAAAGGGCACATGATTGAGCCTCTCCAGGAGAAGATCCCCCGCCTCAATGGCCTCCACCTCCAGCTGCTCGTAGTGAAAGTTATAGAGCGAATCTGGTTGACGCTTAGTGCGCTTTTTGGAACTCAGTTCCTCGCTCAGCTGGAGAATCTGCGCGAGCAGCTCGTTCATATCCACAGCCAAATCTGCTCCTGTCCAGCGGGCTTCGTTCACAAAGAGCTCCTCAATGGTTCCTCCTTCGCTGATTACCAAGGGGGTTATAACTTCTTTATAGAGTTCATAACCCTCCTCTTCTGTTAAGAGTTCTTCTGCCAGTTTTAGTAGCTCCTCCTGTTCGTTGACCCACTGCTCCATGAACTCCTTGATCTCCAGCAGGTCCTGCGTCTCTGAATTCCTCGCCAGCAGCTGAGTTTCCAGCCGAAAGAGTCCCCTTCTGGGCACCAGCACATAAGGCGGTTGATCCACGGAACGACGGAGGAGGACAGACCCTAGGAGCCCATGCTCCCACTCCTGATCCAGCATGCAGCCTGCTCCAAAGGTCTCACCACACGAGGGAGGCAGGAGGCCCGCCTCGAAGGCCTCGCCCGTCCAGACGAGAACCTCCAGGACGAGCAGCGAGTGCGGATCGAAGACCACGCGATGCTGGACGAGCAGGAGGAGATCATCCCGGTAGCTGCGCACCGGAATGGGCAGAAAGTGCTCGACGAAGCCAAAGTTCTGGCCCAGGATGGTGCGTGGCACTAGATGACCCTGCACATAGACCAGGATCTGGGCCAGGATCCCGCCCAGCGCCAAATAGCTGCGTCCGCCCATTTGGAAGGCAGTGATGCCTGTCACCTCGGGTGCTCCAATCTTCTGGCGCAGTTGCAGGGGTTGCTCTGCGCTCCCGGAACTCCAATTCCAAACATATATGAATGCCTCATCCCTTTGGCCCACAGCCAGGAGGAGTTCCCTGCCCGTATCCATGATGGCCAGGTCGGTTATGATCTCCGCCAGCTGCAAACGCTGCGAAATCCAGAACTCCTGCGCCTTCAGATCATACGAATAAATGCTAAGTGTGTGCTCTGCAACGAGGGCAAGGAAATCCCTTCCCTCCCAGCTGAATCCCCGCAGCTGGGTGACCCTGGAGCCAGCTATTGGCCAATGCCAGAAGGTTTCCAGTCCAATAGTCTCGTTTAAACGCAGCCAAGTGAGCTGATCCTGTGAGGCCAACAGGAGGAGACCCTCGAATCCCAGCCAGGCGGTCACCGGAAGGGGATGCAGAAAGCTTTGCAGGATAGTCAAGTCTTCTTTGAGCACCAGGAAGCCGTCCTCCGATTGCTGACCCACTAGAAACTGGCTTCCATTGGCCTGCAAAGTGAGCCAGCGATCCACATCCATGGGCAGACTAAAGTTCTGCAGCTCCTCGATTCGCTGCAGGATCAGCATATCGCGGGTGCGCCTCTTGGACAGCTCCAAACGCTGCAGTTGCTCCAGATCTATGTGATTTAGGGAAGCTGCTTGGGATTCCACCACATTGGCCTCCGGATTCTCCTGACCAGCGGCACCTAAAAGTTCCTTTCGGGGATTAGCTAGTTTAGGCGTCTCCTTGGTGCTGCCCCTTTCCTTGAGCTGCGCCTCCAGCTGCACTACCTCCTGGTTTTGTCCCTGGTGAGCCACCGCCTGCTGAATCTCTTGGCGAATGGCGGCTGCTTGGCTCAGCGTGGATGGGTTCACCACCACTTTGGTGGCTTTTCCGGGGGGCGGATGACCAGATGGTTGGGTCCAACCAGGTGCCACCACCACTCCTGGCTGGGATTACAGATAAGGATTAGTTTTCTTTCATTATATATTATAATTTCAGTCAAAAATTTGTCCGTCCGTCTGTCCGTTTGTCCGTTTGTCCGTTTCTATGCGAACTAGTCTCTCAGTTTTCAAGCTATTGCGATTAAACTTTCCCAAAAGACTTATTTCTACTGCAGGTAGTACATATGCCGGATCGGACCACTATATCTTATGGCTACCATAGGAATAATCAAACAAATAATAGAAAAAACATAGTAACTTTTTAGGAAGTAGGAGTTTTTTGACAATTTAAGAACAACCTTTAAAATAGGCATGTCTGCAAGAGTATATAAACTTCGGCAGGCCAAAGTTCCTTCCTTTCTTGTTTTAAATTTCAATTTTTCTTACCGGAGCAACTGCATCGTCTTCTTCGAGAGCTTTTTCCAGTTCGCTACGCAGCTTGGCGACTTCGGCCTTTTTCTGTGCGGCACTGGTGGCACTGGCTATGGCTATTATTGCTGGCCAGAGCAGCAAATGCCAAATAAGCATTTTATTTATTAATAATAACAATTAACAAAAGAAAAAAGCAAAGAACACGTGAAATCAGAAAACTTTGAAATGTACCGTTTGAAAAACAGTGCTGCCAGATGGTCAGAAGGGCGGCCTTAGCCTAGACACCCACCCAGGCTATCGATATTTCCCAAAACCATCGGTATATCGATGGTTCTATCGACGCTTGGCCACCTCTAGTGCTCTTGGTGTTTTGAATTATCAATCGCCTTCCTCCATTCTCGTTCGTTGTTTTAAATTTCGGATGCGAGCGGACGTTTTTGAATGGCGCGCCGCGCGTTAAACATTAAGCAAATGTGTGTAAACAAAAGACGAGCTTGCAGTTAACTTAAAGAGTTTCAAGTGTAACAAACAAAAAGCAAGGCTTTTCTGGAGAGTAAAGCCGCGCACAAAAAAAAGTGAGTCCCTAGGGATAACGGTAGTTCCATCCTCTCTACACAAACTCTTCCGTCTTTTTTTTTTTTTTTGCATTTTGCAAGTTTGTGAATTAGTTTGTGGCTCTTTTTTTGTTGTTGTTATTGTGCGGCGCCCGTTTGCTTTCGTTGGGCGTGCCAAAAAACCTGCATTTGGCGAAAAAGGGAGCAAAAAGGAGTTGCAGGAAGGAAGGAAAGAGAGAGCGAGAGAGCCTGCGGCCAAGTCCCGTTTTTCGCGGGGGTGCGCGATTAATGCACTTTTTGTGTTTATTTTGTGCTGTGTGTTGCAAATGCCAAATGGCAATTATCTTTATCTGCTTCGCCTCTTCGGTTTTCGGCCCTTATCACCGTTATCTCGCTGCAGCTCCTGTTTACCGTTACTGTGCTTGTGCGTGTGCGTGTGAAAAATCAATAAAATTCCCACTCCCCCAGTGCGTTGGTGTGTGTGCAGCAGCCGGCTGCCATCGCTCTCTCTCTCTCGCGAAGTCACAATTAAATAAATATCATACAAATCTCGTTAAATTATCCCTCAAGCGGTTTTAAAAATTAATAAAAACTGGATATAAGGGTGAAAAATATGTCGCTCGGTTTACTAAACGCTCTTATCTAAATCTGTTTGCACATACAGTGATGAACTTAATTCTTGGCACACTTGGCATCTTGGACTTTAGGTTCAATTTTCTCCGACTAATATATGAATAAAAAAATTTAAAAAAAATTGTTTATATAAAGGCCACATTTTACTGTTTAAATAATTTAGTTTCATATTTATATTTCTTAAGACTAATTTTTTAAAACTCAAAAACGAAAAAATGAGCCTATTCTGCCCGAACAAAATTCTTGGCACACTTGTGTTGTATTTAACTTTTTCGCTAAAACTTAACCGATTTGACTCATTTTTTTTGCTAAATCCGCTAGGCATCAGTTGTCTAGATGGCATAATGCTAAATTTGTATCCTTAAATCGTTAAAATAACTTAATTTTAACTAAAAACGGTTATACAAAAAGTATGTTAAATGCCAATACCCATATCTGTGCGAAAAACAATATTTTAAGGGCAGGATCAGGGTCAATCATATGCTAATACTAGGAAATATGAGCCCAGAAGTTGTTTTTACCATTCGGATCCATTTACGGCGTTTTAAAGGACTCTCACTGTGCCAAAATGCAAGGCACACATCCTGACCCATGGGTTTAAGAGGCCAGGGAAGCGAAAGAATCAAGAAAAAGGATAATGTCAACCCTTAGATTTTATAAGCACAGATCGAAGCTTAGGATAGGAAGGACTTTTACAAGGATATTCAACCAACGGATATTTTAAAGGCCCTGCAATGTGCCAACTACATTTTTTGCAGCTAGAAAATATTCATTTATTTTGAAGGTCAACTTTCCGAGTCCTTAAGTCTATGGAAAGGATTGGTATAGCACCTGATAAAGTAAAAAGGTTAAAAAAGCCGATTGGGATACTAAAGTATCCCTTCTTGTATCCTAAATGGTTATATTGGTGGCCTTTGAAATCACTTAATTTTTTCTAGCTGCAAAAAAATTTAGTTGGCACATTGCAGGGCCTTTAAAATATCCGTTGGTTGAATATCCTTGTAAAAGTCCTTCCTATCCTAAGCTTCGATCTGTGCTTATAAAATCTAAGGGTTGACATTATCCTTTTTCTTGATTCTTTCGCTTCCCTGGCCTCTTAAACCCATGGGTCAGGATGTGTGCCTTGCATTTTGGCACAGTGAGAGTCCTTTAAAACGCCGTAAATGGATCCGAATGGTAAAAACAACTTCTGGGCTCATATTTCCTAGTATTAGCATATGATTGACCCTGATCCTGCCCTTAAAATATTGTTTTTCGCACAGATATGGGTATTGGCATTTAACATACTTTTTGTATAACCGTTTTTAGTTAAAATTAAGTTATTTTAACGATTTAAGGATACAAATTTAGCATTATGCCATCTAGACAACTGATGCCTAGCGGATTTAGCAAAAAAAATGAGTCAAATCGGTTAAGTTTTAGCGAAAAAGTTAAATACAACACAAGTGTGCCAAGAATTTTGTTCGGGCAGAATAGGCTCATTTTTTCGTTTTTGAGTTTTAAAAAATTAGTCTTAAGAAATATAAATATGAAACCAAATTATTTAAACATTAAAATGTGGCCTTTATATAAACAAATTTTTTTAAATTTTTTTTTCATATATTAGTCGGAGAAAATTGAACCTAAAGTCCAAGATGCCAAGTGTGCCAAGAATTAAGTTCATCACTGTATTTGTCGAAACTCTTGTCAAAGATCGCGAATTTCTCTCTCTCTTTCTCCCTTAGAAACTGTTCCTGCAGCAACAACTACAAAAACAACAACACGCAGCTGCTATTAATTTTGTTTGTTGTCAAAAAAGTAAAACTCGCGTGTTTAATTAGTCTAAAAAAAGAATGCTAATGAAACTTTGTTAGCTCGTTGTTGTTGTTCTATCACTCACACATTAAGATACACGAATAAGGGTTAAAGGAGGAGAGGAGAATGACAGATTAAGAACAAAAACAAATCGAGTGAGAAGCTGTGATAATATTAATATTCCCCTCTTATTGCATAATTTGGATTTTTCTCCTCCCACTCTTTTCTCCGTTTTGTTTTGCTTGTGTTCTTCGTTCCGCTTAAATTCCTGTTTTTCCTTTGCCCAATTTTGTGCATTTCTTTTTTAAGGGAATTAGGGAATTTTTTTGACAATGACTCACGTTTTTTTTTTGCCAAGTCTCATAAAAGCGTGACTCACGGCCATGACCCCGTGCAAAAGAGCCTGCCCCTCCCACTACCACCCACACGCGCCTCCTTTAAGTGCGTCCTTGAGATACAAATCTCTCTCGAGTGGGCACTTAACATGCAAGCGAGAGAGCAAGAGAGAGGGCTCCAACTCCTTTTTTTCTCTGTTTTTGGTTTTTGGCGCCTATGCCGTCACTTTGGGGCGTGGCTGGAGTTTTTTGGCTGATGATGAGCTCACACAGCAAGAAAGAGGGGATAAAAACAAAAGATTCGCAGAGGGGGAGAATCACGAACTTGACATTGAACTCGGCTCAAGATTTCGATCTGCACCCAAACTCCTTCTTGATCTTTTTTCTGAATCGAAAACTTACCAGATTGCAATATCGTCATTTATATCATTATATATTATTATATTATTCTTATATCATATCATCTTATTTTTCTTTCTTTTGGTGACTAATTTTTATACCCTTGCAGAGGGTATTTTAATTTTGGTCAGAATTATTTTTTTTCAAGAGATAATAAAAGTCGGAAAATATTCATATCAAGGAGCCTGAAAAAATATTATGTCATCTAAATTCCCGAAAACCAGATAAGCACAAGCACAAATCCCTAAAATGCGTTTCATATTAAAGTGTTTCCAAAAAACGAATTAGTCATATGAGTATGGTGATACAATTAATCAAATTTGAAACATTTCTTATATTTTTTTCAGTGATTAATACATATGTATATGAATCACAATCACAGAATATTATTCATGAAATGTATTTGCATCATATAATATACATAATCTAATTTAGCTAAACAAAAAGCATCAAAATTCCAGAACTACTGCCCAATTTAGAGGTACATTTCAGGGTATTCAAGATTCCTTTTGGCCGAGTCTATTTGTACATGCTGCATCCTTATAGTGCCGCCTCCTGTTTTTGCAAGCTGACAAAAAAAGAGGGGATTGTCCGCCTACCCAAAACTTAAAGGCAGCAGCCAAACTGAGTTCTAAAAGAGGTTGGTGCCCTTTTTGGGCTGCGCCTGCGCATTAAATTCCTTGGCGTCCTCTTTGTTCTCCTCATCCTCATCTTCAGAGCGTGCGTGGCGTTACGCTTTGCTGTTTAAAAAGAAGAAAAAAGCGGTAGGAGGTGGTCTCCATGGAGCAGGGGGCAGTAAATCCGCCTTTAAGTCGATCCGCGATGTCGAAAATCGAAGTCAAAGCTTATTTATCGCACTGAATTCGTTTTCATTTATGTTTTGAAAGAGGAGAGGAGTTGTAGGATTGCCATTTTTAGGTGTTTTTGTTTATGGGTTTGTTGACAACACGCCAAAAAACATTCCCATGCCGCTCGGATTCGGTGGAGATTCTAGCGAAATCAGAGCTGAAATCGGAGGAGTTTTGTGTACCATACCATGCACCCCACGATTCTGCTTAATTCTGTTCCCCAGCTTTTGCTTAGTTTGCCAAAAAGTAAGGAATTTAAACAGACGGTTGAAATAAATAATTACGCATTTTTCGGTTGTTCGATGATTTTGGTTCAACGGTTTCTTCTTTTAGTTCTATTCTTATTTTGTTCTTTTATCTTTCGTTTCAAACATCTCGAACCAAATCGGTCCAAATTAGCATTAATGGTTCTAGGTTCTAGGTTCTTGGTTCTTCCAATTCTAACGGTTAAAAAAAAAAAACTCTGGGTGACCCAACAGCAAAAATAATGGTATGTGACTCGATTCATAAAGTTTATTGCTCTAAATCAGCAAAATCTGCCATCAAATCTCATGGCGACAAACACAAAACACGCTTTCAAAGGGGGAAAACAATTGATGAGTAGAAGAGCTTTAAGAGGGGGGTCTGAACATAGGCGTAGGCAGG